ACTTATATAATGAAATTACTTATATAATGCATGTACATGTTTTAGATTTATAATTAATATCAACTTTCAATTCAATTAAGAACTCTATTTTTAATTATATAGCAAAATTTTAATTACCAATTTTGCATAGTGTCTAAACAATATATATGTATACTTGTATATATGCAAAGAATTTCATTTAATAGTCAATCTGACAAGAAGATAAATCAACTTATATGGTAACATGTATATGGTAAATATCTATAATAAAAGATGGAAAAAGATGGTGTCAACGTCATGATTTCGACGTTGACACCATACAGTGACGAGCCTAACCTTTAACATATTATTGTATAACGTGATACTATTAAGGTATGCCTTTACATAATTATAAAGATCCGTTTTACATAATTATAATCAATCATATATAGAATAACAATTTTCTTGTAATATTGAGTATTGTATGAAAATTAATTTTTTTTTATTCAATTTTTAATTAAATTACATGATTTGCGAAAAAATTAGTATTTTTGTTCATATTTGAAAATCAAGTAAATATTCTAACTGAAAACATAAAGCAATACTAAAAATGAAGATCTGAGAAAAAAATATGCAAAAAACAGGACTGTGATTAATAAGCGAGCTTCAAAATATCATAGATGAAATAAAAGAGTACATTTCAATAATATTGACTTTGCTTAAATGAAAAACCAAAAATAATAATAATTTTTATTATTAATCAAATTCTAAATCAAATTTAATTAGATGTAGAAAAAGAATTTTGAATCTCATGTTGTGGTAAACCATATATAATTAAAAATTATCTTATGAGAAAACTTCTGCTTTAGTAATGCCAATTTTTTCATCCAAAATAGGAATTAAATTAAAAACACATGTACATAACTATAACGAATTATATGTAACTGTTAAACAAAACAGCAAAGTTAAATTTAATTACAAATAGTAATTGCAACAAACATATGTAGTAAAAAAACAAAATCAAAAGCACTACCGCACAAAATACCCAAAAAAAAAATTCACACGGTTCATTTTTACACTGCTTGAAATTTTTCTTCTTTTAATAATTCTACTGTACATTAACTCAACACAATCTAACATTTTATGTATGAAATTTGATTTTTCAATGTTACACTTTCAATCATAACCATATTTTTATTAAAATTTCAACTTTTAATTGCAATTTTACTGGTACAGTTAGTTGAAAATTTTTAATTCATAAAAATTGCTACGGAGATCGTAATTCTTGACAAATCGCAATTCCTTCAAACAACAATTCTGGGCATGAACATTGTTGGTATTCAAAGACCCAAAAATGTTGCCGATTTACAAGCATAAAAAAATTTTGATCAATCATAAAATATAAAGTAGTACTAGAACTTGTAAAGTCTGCATTATATATGTATATAGGAAGGTAGAGTCTAGGAGTTTATGCGTATGCCTCTAAGTTTATGCGAGCTTAATAATCTTTTACTGTAGAAAATTTTAAAAAATAAATTCCAAAATTTTAATTCGGTTTTGCTTACATAGATTAGAAAAAAATTTAGTTCGACATTTAAATAAGGTACGAGATGGCGCTACTCATGTAAAATCTCAATTCGCATGAGTTTTATATGAAAATGCATGAGGTTTAAGAAAATCCAGATTTTTTTCTAAAACTTAATAACGTTATTTGGGTGTTTACATCTCTCTGAAACCAATAAATACAAATTCTTTTTATTGACTTGTTGTATTATTTAATAAGCGGATGTTGAAAAATCCCATAATGCTACGATGCCATACACGCATGTCAAATTACTAAACGTGGTACAAATTTTATAATGCTTGCAATAAAATTAAATATTGTTTCTTAAAAAATTGTATAGTTTAAAACAAAGAAAAATAATAGGAAATTATTCCTAACAATAACGCTGAGTAAATAACAAAAGTTTTCAGCAAATATTCAACGAATCTATGATGTTCAAATGCCCATATAGCATAAAATATTAGAAATTTTTTTTTTTAAATAATTTTTTTTAAACCTTTTTTTTTAAATAATAAAACAATTATGAAAAGAAAAAACGCTTAACCAATTTTAATTTCACTTTTAAGAAAAAATAATCATTTTTGTTATTTTAAAATTTTTTTCAAAATTTCCGCATACGTATTTTTTTAATATAATTATAACAATAATAATATAGTGATAATTAAGTAGGTATAAATTTATATTTGTTATACAATAGAAATTAATATTATAAAAAAAAATTGGTATAGGCTCATATTAAAGTTTTGCTCTAATTCATAATAATTGTTAAGTTTTTTTTTAACTACTCTCATAAATAATTTTGTCATATAATTTACAATAATTACTTATATATAGGTACATTTCTTTAAATTATATTGTTTATAAATTGTTTATTGTTAAATAACTGGCGGGAACATTAAATATAAAACCACAAAAATATTAATTATTCATATTACAATGTTGTAGATCAAAAAAATTTGATGTGATCAGCACATAACCGACCGCAATGTGTATTGTCTAGTTAAGTGAAAATGTTACAAAATATTATAAAAATGTCTGTTAAATACTTCTTTCTTATAGTTAACATACCTAGCTTATAGTTAACATACCTAGAAAAATGTAAATTTGGCTCTCAGGTCCGATATATCCCAAAAGTTGATCAATCTGTGTCATAGTCGAAATAAACTTAACTTTCACATAAAATTTCATCAAAATCGGTTCAGCCGAACTTGAGATACACGCGTGCAGACACAGACCGACAGACCGACAGGTTCCTAAAAATAGTTTATTTACACTTCCCTATCATGGAGAAATGCGTTTCCACCGAAAACTCGATATGCAAAATTTGTTGCCATCACATAACCAACCTATTGTACACACATTACAAAGTCGGTAAAAAGAATTGAATGATGAAGCTTTTAAACTGTAAAATTGAAGATCTTATTAAAATATTTTTTGGAAACGTATGATGAAAAAGATAAATTAATTAACAATAGAAATTAAAAATTACCATTAAATTAGAACTAAAGAAACCAAAGTTATAAAATTTTCGCAAATCATTAAGAAATTTAAAGTTTTTAAGAATTATTGTTGGCTCTAGAAACCTAATTTCAATAAAAATAAAAAAAATTGTGTTCGTTCTCGTATCTGTTTCGAATTGACGTTCTATTAGTTTAACTTAAACACTGAATCATCAATATACTAGTTTGGTTTGTATGTCATAAAACGGCTAAGAACACTACACTCAAGTCAAAAAAATACATTTCTAGTAAATTATATTTAAATTATAGATTAAGTTTTGAAAAAAATCATAACTATTTATATACTTTTACTCATAACTTCAGGACTAAGTGAGGTACTAGAAAAAGAAAATAACTTAAAACTCGACGGCCTAATTGTGTATTTCGCTTTCTAAGTCTCGTTAATGGTATTTCTAACATTTGTGTAAGTTTTGGAAAAAAAAGAAATACGCAACATAATGCAATAAAATTTTAATCTAACACAAAAATTGTGAATTACGGTAATATTATGACACTCGATCACTTTTTTGTTACTCGGCGAGTTTAAGAACCTAATCGTATCGTAAATACCATGATTAGGACCTTAAACAAATAATTTGCAAATATTTTATAATTTTTGCTCATAACTTTAGACTTTTATCACAATACATTAAACAAATTTTGAAGCAGATCAAAAAATCAATTCGAATGTCTAATAAAATAAAAAACTATACATATATACCAAATTTGACATGTACACCCAATTATTATTATTGAAGCATTGAAGCTTTTATTATAGTCTTCCTATAATAATTCCAATATAAAATCTTTAATTCAAAATAATTTATATTTTATATAACAGTTTATGTAATCTACAATCGAAATAGCCACAATATTAAAAATATTAAAATTCAAAATACGATAAAAAAATCACCTTATTATAAAAATATTAAATAAATTAATTTAAATTAAATTGAATTGAGTTTTAATTGAACATATAAAAATAATTTCATTGCGTGAAAGATTATTTTCAAATATATTAATATATTAAAATATTAAAAAAAAATAAAAAGTAAAATTAAAAAAAAAACCCAAAAACTGTCGAGAAAAGTTTCATGCACCCCATTTGTACATTTTCTTACATACTTATACTTTCTCCGATTTTATAACTTTATTACAAAATCGCAAATGATGCCACTATTGAACCATTGATGATTACAACATCATAACATTGGTAACATTGTATTGAAAGTAAGAAAAAATAAAAAACATACACACACTTTTGTTTTTGTTAAAACTCTTCATTATTCATAAATTAAAACTTATTATTTTTAAAATATAAATAAATTGAAATTCGCAAAGTTTAATCACCATTAAGAAATTTACAATTATTGTTATTACCAGTAATCATGAAAATAAAATTCATTTTAATGAACAAATTAATGATTTTTTGTTTTTTTTTTTTCTCGAATTTAAACGCGTTTTACAAAACGCGATATTGCAGTCTTGTATATTTTGACATGCTATTGAAAATGCATACATAATTCATTCTTAAACGGACTATTAAGATAATATTGCGCTTTACAATATCATGTTGCAAAAAGATTCAAGGACTTTATATGGTCATATATGAACTTCATAATCATATAAACGATTTTTTTTTTCATTCTTGTATAAACCAAAATATTTCTGCTTATTCTTCCTTTTCATTTTCATATTGTCGTCGTATAAAATGCAGTATCAATAATAATACGAGTATTAATAGTCACGACATCTTGTGATAAAACATAAAATTAAAATTATAAAGATGACACAATTTATTCTTCAATACTCGCACTTAAATTTTCATTTTTTGAAATGAAAACAGCGAAAATTTTCTAAAATTATGAAAGTCTTAATAAGATTCTTAATTCTTAATTTTTTAAATTTAATAATTCCTTAAAATATTCATTTTTTTCAATTACCAAAAAAAAAAAATAATAAAATTTTTACCTTTTTAGGGCACATATCCTGAATCTTACTATCATTTATCGTCACAAAGTCATCAAAATAATGGTTTACCAACAAATGGATCTGACATGAAATCAATATCTTTGAATAGTTCAAATATACAAAATCCTATAAATTTTTGGAAAGCTGGATCAACGGATTATCCAATGAAATCGACAACGACAACAACAACAACAACATCAGCATCATCATCAATATCATCGAAACCATTACATTTTCGAAATCGTGCAAGTAAAATGTATCATTGGCATAAACATAATTTACTGGAAAATTCAAGAACATTTTGGGGTTATGCAAAATGGCCAATATTATTATTATTATTATGTTTAGTATTATGTTGTGTAATATTTTTATTATTTATAATGAACACAAATATTTCAAAAAATTTTAATTCAAAAACAGAATCATCAAATGATAATATAATGTCTGCAAACTTTTCTGATGAAACAATTTCATTGACAGATTTTAATGGTAATTTACAAGTTATTGAAACTGATTATAATATTAATAATAATGAGAAATCAATATATATCAATAATAACAATAATATTAATAATAAAGGTAACAATAATGATAACAATAAAAATCTTAAAGAAATTTTAACAATATATATGAAATCCCCTGATAATTCAACAACAATTACAAAATCGAATGAATCGATTAATATAAAATCGTCATCGCAAAACTTTAGTAAAACTGGTATTTCATTACAAGAAATTGATTTTGAATTGGATAATATTAAAAATGATAATAAGAAAAATAATAATAATAATAAAATATTTGATGAAAAAATTAAAATTATGAAAAATACTGGAAGCACTACAAAAAATCCATTATTACATCGTAATACACAAATTATGAAATTTTCAACTGTAAAAGGTTTTAAACCAGAAGATGATATTCTAATACAGAGTAGCACTGAAAATAATAAAAAATATTTGGATTCAAATGAAAAATCAATCTTGTCATCTATTTTACCACCAACAAAAGAAACAATACATGTTATCGGATTTACATCTGGGCATCAAAATAATTTTGGAGTACCAATTGAAGAAGATGAAAGAATTTTAAAATTATTAAATGATGAGATTATTAAATATGAAAGTCAAGAAGTAAGAAAAGTATATAAAAATTAATTTTGTTTTTACTGTACACTTTTAGTTAATTATGCAGTCGAATATATAGATTTAGCATGTTTGCATGTCACACTCTTTTGATTATTGATTTTTGCTGGAGTAAGCGTCTTAGCCGGAACGCTTACCATTTTATTTACTATTTAGACTTTATAAATCAACGAAATACTTTACATTATTGGACTTTAAACTGAGATCTATAGAAGAAATCAGAAGAATATTTTCTTAATGTCGGAATTCGAATATATTTTTCAAATTTTTTTTAAAATTTTAAATTGCATTCTCTACCTTCTCCCTGTATTTTAACATCTGTATAATTCTGATAATATTAATTATATCACAATTGTTTTCATAAAACTTGAAAAAATTAAATAATTTTTAAAAAATTGTTAAAAACGTGTTTATGCACCAATATATTCACTCTTCATTCGACAACTCTATTCTAGTATTAAATTGCAATAATTTTTTTTAGAATAATTCTACAACCCCGATTCCTGATATACAGAGCAGCTCATCAACTACAACAGTTAAAGTATCACCAACATTACCGTTAATAATACATCATAAAGATACAAGTCCATCAAGATTTCGCACCACCACTGAATCATTGATATCAAACTCCAGTGATGTTTGTGAATCAACTTCATTGCCCATTTGTCAAGGTATATTAAGATATGATTTAACAACAACAAAATCGAAACGGATATTAGAGTCAATGGATTTAGAACATTTTAAATATTTAATTGCATCGAAATGTTCAAATCGTGCTGCAGAATTTATATGTTCAGTGTTAGAACCAGAATGCCGATCTGCAAAATTAGGATCATTACAACCATGTAAAAGAATATGTAAAGGTAAATACCCTGAATTAAAAATTCATAATTATATAAACAAGCAAAATACGTTACGAAACCATGTAATTACTTATTATGTATAATGAATTTTATGCTTAAATTATTTAATAAACCATCAATTTGCATAATACTAAAAAAATTAATAAATACTTATTCACCGTATTTAATCTTATACTTTAATTTTGAATAAATTCCTTAGCTATATTGGAACCATGTGCAGGTTTAATCTCAAGTTCAGAAATGTTAACAATGACATTCGATTGCGATCGTTATCCGGATTCAAGTGATCGTAATGTATGTGAAGATCCAACAAGACGTAGCATTAAATGTTATGATAATGAATATCAATGTTTGGACTATACTTGTATACCAAAACAATGGAAATGCGATAATATCAAAGATTGTTCTCTGGGTGAAGATGAAGAAAATTGTCAATTTTGTCATCATGACGAATTTCAATGTCAATCAGATAGTAAATGTATTACAGAAAAATGGCGTTGTGATGGTTATAATGATTGCGATGATGCATCTGATGAAAATAATTGCGATGAATATGATGAATTTAATGATGAAGACAGTGTTGATGATGATGAAATAAACGATGATTATAATTCAAAAATTTATAATTTATTTACTGATCAATTTCAACAAACAACATTATCCAATTACTCAAATGGTCGTGCTAACGGTTTACCGTTTCTGGCAATATCAATTGATGATGAAGATTCTAATAATGAAAATTTAAAATATGGTAATAATGAAGGTCTATTTGGAAAAAGTATAATAAATAATATTGAAAGTCAAGTTAATTTAACAACTGACAAAATGTTACCAAGCGAAAATGAAGAAAATGAAGAAATTCAAACTGGTGAAGCAAGTGGTAGAATTGTTGTAGGAGTCTCACAAAATCAAGGTTTAGGTAATTGTTTAATAAATTAACTCTGTATACATGTATAATTAAAGAAATCTATATTATTTAATTATTTTGTGCAAATTAAGGTAATTTTAAAGATAGTACGGAAATTATGATGACTAGCGATTCTCAAAATGATTTTAAATACTCTAAAGTTATGCGGGGTAATAGTAGAACAAGAAACAGCACCGTAACAACTACAACTACGACGTCAAGCAAAAGAGTATCGGGATCATCATCTGCTGGTTCAACAACAAGAACTTCTTTACGCTTAACTACATTATCAAGAAGAGGAACACCATCAACCACAACTTCAACAACAACAACAACTACACCGGAACCGATATCTACTAAACTTTTAAGAACTTCAGCACAAAGTCGTAGAACAACCTCACCCACAACAACTTCTAAAGACCCAAAAGACCATTCAACCTTGTGTCCTGGTGCTCAATTAAGATGTGTTAGTGGGAAATGTATAAATGTAGATCAATTATGTGATAAGGTAAGTATCGGTAATTTCGAAAAATGAAAAAAAATCAGTTTCGCTTAGAAAATGATGCAAGGAAATTTAACTCAAACATTTGAACTTTTTAGATGTACACCTTTTTTCAATTGTACTATTTTAAATTTATCAATTTACATAACAGTTCCGTTCCTTCTTACCTAAAACATTCCAAAATAAATAAGCAGTCTCAGATATCTCTAAATTATTAAAGTAAACGACTTTCCTTTGAAGGTTTCAATTATAAAATGTTTTATTAATATACAAAAATAATAATTTATAAAAACCTTTTCGTTATAATTTCAGGTAATCGACTGTCCTGATGGTGCTGATGAAGCTCGATGCGTTTACAAAGATGACGAAGAAAATTAGAAGAAATTGAAAATAAAAAGGCTCATTTCTAGCTCAATAAAGTGTTATTTTAATCATTTTTTTTATTTACTCATTCTCTATCGTATTTTATTTTGTTGAATTACGTTCTTAAATTTGTCATTTTCATCTTTATATGCAAAAAAAAAAACATTTACATGTAAAATAAAATATTTATTGTTCAACATAACTGTAATTAATATAATTAATAATTATAAAATAATTTAATAATTTTGAAAATGAAAAAAAAAATTAATGTTGAATACTAAAAGATCACTTGAAAATCAGTTCATTGCATTCAAAAAAAAAAATTCATAAGCTATTCAAGTTCATCTAAAACAAACAAACATTTTCTAAAAACCTTTTTCAACATTTTTTATAAATATTGTTTAAAATTTTTATCTTTATTTTGTTGAAAAACAAAAATGTATAATTTTAATTGTTACTTTTGTATATATAAATATAATTATTCCAATCTCATTGATTTTTTGATAATACAGATTTTGTAATAAATAAGTTTTTACTATAAATTATTGTCTATTCAATGAAATTATTCAATTTCAGGGTTAAAGTCAGAAATATTTTTCAGTTGTGCGAAAATTTAAAGTTTGAATGAGTACCAAAAATCTTCATACGAATCGGCGGTTCAAGATAATGTTTCCCAACAAAGGCAAAAGGAGCAACTCTTCACTCTTAAGCGACCTTGCAATAGGATCGATGTAAATTTATATTTATTTTATAATCTACAATGTAATGTTCAAAGTGGACTCTTATTTTTCTAAAACAAATGTGTTCGCATTTCAAAAGAAAAAGCAACAGAATTACAAAAAAGCGATTAATTAGGAACTCCTGAAATTATTTCTTTCACATTTCATCAATATTCCCGAGAATACATAATTGCTTAAAAATTATAGACTTACTTTCAGTTCGGCTGGTCACTAAAAAAAGGAATACTAAAACTTGATTATGTTTTTAAATAAAAAGACAATATTTCGATTGTTGTATAATAATTAATTTATTTATTAATTTAATTTGAGTATTAACATCCCTGATAAATACAATAAAATTGTTATGAATAAACAAATATATAATTCAAAATAAACAAAATATATGTTAAATAAAATTTAATATTTTAAATATTTATTATCATAATAATAATTAAAATTTAATTTGGAATACTGTTGTTAAGTTACTGATAATATAATATAATTTAAACTAAATTTTAAAAATACACATAAAATTTAAATATATATTTATAACATAACTACAATATCCTGCGTCTAGTTTTGCCAAATTAATAGCCGTTCATTCCATTTCATGGTATTTGGTATTCCACAGCTTTGAGTGTGTTTCATAATAATGTAAATAATAATGTAAAATCAAACATAATGTAAATTTTTGTTTTTTAAATCAAAAAAAAAGCTTAAAATTTGTAATTTTAATAGAAAATATGTATACTATAAGATTTCAGTTATCAAGGTAATACCAAATACAAGACTTTTCCAGTTTTCAATGCTTTCGACTATATATGACTTATATATCTCTTAATATTTTAACACTATAACTTAAATTAACTTTGAAACACAAAATATTTTTTTAGAATAAATAAACTAAGTAAAAATATTTATCGTAATATATTATATATCATGAAACCCATCACAATGTAATTAATATCAAATTATTTTCATCTTTTAAATATTATAACATTATATAACCATAGTTATTTCCAAGAATTACTTGAAATATTAGACCAAAGTCAAAAATAATTGAAAATATTTATGTACGTATATCGTACATGTTTGCAAACAAAATGTACTTTACGACGTTATAAATAAATTTCTTATTATTAATAATAAGTTATAAATAATTCTCAAATTTTTTTTTTTGTTCATAATTGCAATATTTTTAACAACAAAACCTTTTTAAAATATATAATTTAAAAATTCAGAAGAATAAAATTTATTTCGAAATCATTTATGAACATTAGATTATAATTAAAACCACTAGCAAGCGCTAAAACTGTATAGATAATTTGAATTGATTAAATATTAAAATGTACACACTTTAAAATTATAAGGAAGATTGTTTTTTGTATTATGTTTAAAACTTATAAAATTCGATAATTTCGTTTTTTTTTTTAATTTTTTTTTATTGTTTTGTCTATTATACATTATATAAAATTATAATATGTATTACACTTAAATTGCAAATTTATTATATAATTTTGTATTGAATTATTGCCACAACTTAGAGGCACTGATAATTGAACAAGCAATTAAGATTAATTTTTTTTTTCGCTTAAATATATTATACTAAATTTATTGAAAGAGTATTCAATTTATTTTCTTTTTCGCAAATGTATTATTGACTATTATGTAATAATTTTTTAATAAAATGCTTATTGAAAAAGGAAAAATTTCTCGGGACTTAATTGACACAAAAATAATTATTAGATTAAGATTCTGATTATTTAATAATGTTTTTGTATTTTTCCATTGCATACGATTTAAGTGAATGTAAAATTTTTCTATATAATTTAATAGTGCAAAATTTAAAAATTACATTTATATATAATAAATATATTAAGGATAAAATTTTCACAATTTTTTTCTTTAAAATTTAAAAAAAAAAAAAAAAATTATTTTCTATTAAAAAATTTATAGAATTTAGATGAAAGAAAAGCAATTAATTTTATAAAATGAAATCCCATTCTGATATCATAATATAATCAATTATTTTCCAAAAATATATTTTCCATAATCGGCGCACAATTTGGTGTTAAAAAACAGAAATTTAATGAATTAATAATTATTTTATAAATCCATACATAATTTAAAAAATTAAAATTAATGAAAGAAAGATGAAAAATCTGATGTCATTGTTTTCAAAAATTCATTTAAAAATTATATTTAAACAAATTAAATTAGAAAGAATAATTAGCACCTTATTGTTTGAGCAAATCCTTTTTTTACTTAACACATTTTTAAATTTTCTTGAATGGGAAATTATTTTATAAAACACAATGCGTATTTTAATATACTTGTAGATATATTTGGATTGGCAGGATTATAAATTTCATTAACGTACATATTTAATTAATAAATATATATATTTTTTTTTCAAAATTTTTGTTTAACAAACAACAACTTTAATAAGATTAAATATTGGAAAAGTACTTTTATAATATTAGGATTTTACTAGGAATGTAAGAGCATTTCTGATTTTAAACGAGTTTCTTTATTCTTTTTTTTTAGGATACTTTAATTTTATATATGTACATAAATTATAGAATAAGTGATATTAATATTTTTATTAACAATTATATGCTAGTATTTCTCTTTCCTATTGCAACATTACAAAAACTACTAATTATTTTAAAAAAAAACATAAACTAAATATTAATAAAAAAAATATAAGTTTCGATGTTTTATTTTATTTTATTCAAATGCACAAAATATTATTGTATGTAATTGCAAACATTTTTTGTTTTCTAATTTAATGTAATAAAACTATTGCTAAGGTTAACCTTCGATTCGGAGTAAAATGAAATAGTTTATAAATTCAAAAGAAATGAGAAAATTAAATTTTTAACTAGGATACCTTCAATCAATAAATAGTATTGGAAAGAAAACAAGAAACAATTGAAAGAATTAAAATTCTAAAATAATAAAATTAATTATTTGAATTGTTTATCCTAAAAAAGTAATTTAATTTAAATTTCTAATACTAAAACAAAAAAATGGAACGAAATTCATTACAGAAACCAAATTTTTAAAATTTCTGGAAACGTACGTAATTTCTATTACATTTAATTTTTTACATGTATATGTTTCGAATTACGTTTGGAAGCACTGGGAATTTAAATAAAAACTATAATAAAAAGTATAAATTATTGGCAAGTTTCAACGAAATTATATACAAATTAAAGAAAGTTCGAACTTCACTAAAAAAGAAAAGAATTAGAATGAAAGAGAATACAAAAAGTTTAAACCTTTAAAATAAGATATTTACATGAATATTAATCTACATTTTATATTTTTGATTTTAATTCTTACTGAATTATGTTTAATATTTCAATTGCATAAGATCCTTATTTTTCATTTTGTTTTACTACACCTCTAATATCTTTTTAAAGTACTTATACTATTTTCATTGAATATGCATATTCTATTCATTATAAACATTAATCTATTATTGTTCCAATCTTTTGTGGTTATCATATGTAATTGCATATAATAAATGTTTTATAAATATATCCATATATTATGTATGTATGCATATAAACTTATATTATAGTTATACACTTACATAATATCGTAGCAACAACTGACTGGATCTATGAACCAAATCAATTTTTAGGCGACGATATTTATGTACATATTTTTATATATTATATATTTATATACATACATTTATCACTTCATATTTGTATTACAATCATGTAATTAAAATTCAAATTTATAATATCGACATTTTAAGCATTAACGGAAACAAAATTGAATTTTTTTTTTTTTTTCAAATTAAAATAAATGCAAAAAGAATTTTAAATATTTCAAACGCTTAATAAAAAAAAATAAACTTTATGTAATATTAAATTATAAAATATTCATTTTATATAGCAAAATATGCAAAATATAATGCTTTCGAAAAGAGTACACAAACGAAATTAAAAAGTTTTCCATTTAACTTTCTTTTATTATATTGTTTGTATTCCTGATTAAAAGATTTATTCTTCATTATCATCAAGTATCTCGAGAAATGCCCGCGGTACAAGTCCTTTTAGTAATCCTTGCTTTCCATAAACATAATCTGAATTCATTGGTGAGCATTCAGTTACAAGAATTACCTAAAAAGATAAAATTCGTTCATATCAATTTGAATTGCAGAAAATATAAATGAATTGAAAACTTTAAAACTACATATTCTAACTATTATTTGGTTTAAAATAGTAGTTACATGTAGTAAAATAAACTTTCTAGAAAAGAAATTTTTTCCATGTTATGTACGCGTTTCATGTTTTGTTATATACAAGTTTGAAGAAGTTTCATTTTGGGTTTTTCAATATGCAACCAGTTCTAATTTGACTACATGCTTTTTCACAGTTTGCAATCATACTCCGATTTTGATTTTGCAAATATACTTTAAAGCCTACAAAAATCAAAGTAAATTGCAGATTTTGTGGTTATTAAAGTAACTTCAATAACTACACATACATATTAATTTGAATAGCTTTCCAGATTTTTTCAGAAACGAATGAGCAAAAAATCTAAAAATTCGCTTGACAAGTCTTTATTTAATAGCCCAGGTACTTGCTCATTACTTAAAATATTAATCACAAAAATTGTAAATTGAAAGTCTGTTAAATGTATCTATGTAAAGTTTAACTAAATTAAACTTTATTTGCTTTAGAAATGTTTATATTATTTTAATATACAGTTAAAATAAAATCTTATTAAATTTTACGTAATTTAAAAGCATAGAAATATATACAATTAAATATACATATATATATTAAGGAAAACATTATGATGTAACTTAAATGTCACAATTAATATTTGGTTACATAAGCCACAACGGTATATGGAAGTATAAACATGAAACTTTTATTTTAGTTATAATCTGGCAACACATAGTTTTTCTTAAAAAACAGACAACAAGATAAAAAAAAGCTTAAATTACAAAGAATTATAACATTGAACAAAGGACTTAAAAACACTAAAAGCATAAAAACTTACCTCATTTGATGATAAACTGAGTTCAGTATGGTCTTTTGCATCATAACTGCAAAGAACACGTGCACGTTTCATTTCAGATCCCATTTCAGGACTACGAGTTTTTGAATCATTTTTATCGTCATCTAATCCAACTGGTTCGTAAGGTGTCGGGCCTCCAAGCCTAAATCGAAATTACATTTTTTATAGATCGTTTAAAAACACTTTTTTTTCGGTTTCAGAATTTGAATTTCTTCTTTTTTCTTTTTCTAATTTATAAAACCAAATTAATATAGTTCTCTGTGATTGTAATTGTTTGTTGTTTGATTGATTGTTTTGTTTTAATGGAGTATATTGTTATTTGGCAATAGATATTATAATTTGAATTAAATCTACAAAGTTTAATTCTAAACAATTAAATATAGATATCTACATTCTAAAATTAGGAATCTGTACACAAAAAATTAGTAATAAAACAACACTTAAATGAAAATTTTAGAGGTATGAATTAATGTTACTAATAGTATTTATTATATAAATTATTAGTAAACAAATGTGACTTTAATCATAATTTAATAATAATTTTTAATATTAATAAACTGAATGTTAATTAATTTTTAAAAAGTATTGCTCGCAATAGAATGAAAAATAGAGTGAAAATAGAATTAAAAATTCTTCTATTCATTTTAAGACGAATCGTCCTCCACGATAGTTTGAAGCAAAATTCAGTCAATCATTTTATTTAACAAAAATTGACCACTATTACATTAAGTTAACTAATAATATACATTCGAAAATATTATTAACTAGCTAAAAATTCGACTAACTTTTTAAAATCTTGCACCATTAAAAAATTAATAATGTAAATATTTCTATTTTTAATGTTTAATTTTGAAACTTTTATTTGATTTACAATGGAATAGGCTTAATTCATTATTTGATTTTTAATAGTTCACTTGGTAATATTTTAGTTTTATATTTAATTTTTTCAATTTTTTTTTTTTATTTTATTAAATAATTTAATAATATGTATAAAGGATGAAAATGAATTATGACATGAATGACATAGAGATAGAATAATTTTGAAATCTGAAGACGAATACAAGAAAACTGGAATACATATTATTTTCAAGCACTTTTCAATAAACATCTATGTGTGCAACAATAAAAAATTATTTTATAGTGTTTAAAAGAATTGAAACAAAAAGATATGTGCAAAGGTCTAGTTATTAAAGAAATTAAAAATAAAGAAGAATTATTAACAATATCTACAACTTAACTGAGTAAATTTCTAATTCATATTATCTTCAATATGAATTATATAATGTACATATTAAAAAATTTATAAATATAACATATTTTTTATGTTAAGTTAAAAAACAACAAACAAGTTTTATATTGTAGTGATTTCACCAGTTGTATCATAAGAAATATTCATGGAATCTAAAATTATTTCAGAATCATTTCTTGAATTCAAAGCATTTGGAGGCCCAGACTCATTTTCAATATCTTCGCTATTAATGCGTAATCGTGGAGTTTGTGGTCGTAAGCTGCAAACCGAGTACAGAAGAATATTTTTTTTTTTGCATTTACAAAATAGTATACATAGTAAGAAAATAGTATAATGGAAATATGAAATGTGAAATAAATTAATTAAACAAATATTCGCACAAAAAATAAAAAGAAGAAAAAGCTGTTTTTTTTTGTAATTTTTAACACACAAAAAATAAAATCATGTTTTAGGAAAATAAATAATTTTGCTTTCTTATTCGAAATCTTTAATTATTTTAAACTATAACATAATTAATTTTAAGAGGCTATAAATACAAAAATTCAAAGAAAATAGTACTTGCAAAATTTGAAATTAAGCAAAAACAAATAAATATAACATAAAAAGCAATGTCTCAATAAGAAACTTATAAAAAAATCTAAGTGTTAAATTGCAATTATTTAATTAATTTGCAATGTAAAGGTGTCAATTTGGATTTGGTCAACATGCATTATCACAGGTAAAGCTCTCACAATAGCTCTACGTACATAAGTAGTTTCATAAGTGTAGAAATTAAAGCATTTTTTTGAATATTTTTTAAATATGTGTTGATGATAGTAACTTTGTAACTACATACTTATATTAAATTTGAAATTTATTTCTTAGAAGGTTGAAAATTAAATTTAAATATAATCCATCAATTTATACCCACAATATTTAATTTTTATAAAATATAATTCAATTTTTAGTTATTTAATAAAAAACAATTACATTATCAATCTTGTGAATTTACTCGATCAATTTAAAAAAAAAAAATAAATTTAAAATATGTTATAAAAATTTACAAAGAGTGTAAATCATATATATAACTGGAATTTATTTTTTGATCTATTGACTTCTGAAAATATCCTTTAATTAAATTAAAGCTCATATCACTATTTAATAACATTTCTATGTAGTTATGTATTTCTTAAATATCTCATCTTTTACACTTAAAAATTGATTAAGAAGCAGAAAATTTGCAACCTTCTAGTTTTTTTAAACGCAAAAAATAAAAGTTAAATATTCATGTTTCTGGTAATACCTTACCTCACAAGTTCCTTTTGTAAATCATTCATAATTGAGATGCATTGGTTATAATATCTCACTTGAGTCTCAACAAAGGAATGTAAATGCCGCAAATGACCAGCTTGTGAAGTACTAATTCCTTCAAGTAATATTTTTGTTATTTCGGCTTGTCGATCAAATTCTGCTTGAGCAACACGTAAATCACGCTCAGCCTGAAATGTTAATGTGATGTATTACATTGGATTTAAATAAGAATTTAAACATTACATACATGATAACAAAAAATAAGTACATAAACAATATTTTCAGAACTCAAAATTGTGTATTTAAGCTGAAGTACCTTTTAAAACCATGATATTAGTGACGTTCAGAAAATAAAATTTAATAAAATGTACAAATGTAATATTATGAAAGCCATTAAAAACAAAAAATAATTAATAAATGCAGTCCACACTTATTAGGGCAAATATAAATGTAATAACAAACATTGAAATAGATGTACCTGATCTAAAACTGCTTCAGGAGAAATCCCATCTTTCTAAGATTTTTAATTAAAGCAGCGTGAAAATAATACTCTTTTGAATTAAATGTTTCAAAAAATAACCAATTATTTTTTGAACTTCATTTATAAAACACATTAGTTTATTACCACTTAAAAACCATTCAATTTTATAACTCAAGGATAATACATATATCTTACCGCTTGTTGTCCAATCATACTTCTAGCTTTGCGGACACGATTCTTGCATGCATCTAAGTCCAATCTAAATTGAAAATTTCATTAAAAAATATAATCAATAGAAAAAACAAAAACCAATTTATGTACCTCTTTGTTTCTAAAATACCCTTTTCTTTGGTAATAGTTTTCATTTCACCTTCTAAGAATTTTTTTAAGGGTTGCGTAAAACATATACCAACTGACCCAATGAAATCTCGCTCGCACACTCCAAGTTTTTGTTCAGCTTGGCCTACTTTTATTAAAGCTTGACCGTAGGCAGTATCTTGGCCAAAGTCGCCACCAGCTTCAATCATGTCTAGGCCTAAGTATTCCATATTACTTAAACGTTGTGGTTTTTTCTTTTCTATTTTTTCGAATATAAAGTCTTCTACACGATTTCCAGGATTGGGTATTAGAACAGATTCTGTATCTCTCACAATTTTCTCGGTCCATACTTTTGTGCATTCAGCTCTTTCAGCTAGGTTTTCAAAGTGAGAATCTAATTCAGTTTTTTCGGCATGCCCAAATTTTTCCTTTATGCAATATAATATATTTTTGTTATTAAAGAAATATATCGATTTTAGATGAATGTATGTTTGTATGTATACATAATTAAAAGTACATAATTATTTTTCATTTCTCACCTCGGTAAGCTGCACTACTCTGGAGAAAGTATTACCTAAATTGCTACCAGCTTCTTTTACTAATTTTTTTACATCGAAATCAGGCAAATGAATATTCATTTTGTACTAATTTTTAATATAAATCAAAAAATTTTACGAAACTAATTTTTTTTACTGAACAAATTTTTACAATAAAAGAAAAATCGATCCTTGCTCCTTACTCTACTTTAAGCTCTCCTTAATGTTTAATCAACGAATGTCAACACAAAATGTCAATCTATTCACATAATTCGTCACTGGTCACTACTGCCATATAGCTATGTATTTGTCAATGCCAAGAATACAAGAAGATAAAAAACTTAACTTGTGAACAGCTCCTTTTTCTCTTCTGAATGCATTTAATTTTCCATTTTTTTCAATGAAATTATTTTCAGAATTCTCTTAAGTGAAATTAAACAAACACGACTGATTTTTAAAAGAAAATTTTTCAATTCATTCATGAAAGGTGTCAAGTGTTTTCAAATATTTTTTTCTTTGCAGTGTTGGAATATTAGCATTTTTAACGCCAAATTAGGCAAAATTGTTTTTAGTTTTACACTGAATTTTTAAAAGATTATGTCAAGTGTATTTGTGCATAATAGCGTTTTGAAGAAGATTTAAAAATCTTTAAAAAAAATTCTAAAGGTTTCGTTTTTATAGCCATCACTCATTGCGTGATATAATGCATCACATCTATTTTATTCAGCAATTGCCACTTTATTTTGAGTATTAAACTCAAAACTAAGAAGATTGTTTCATTTATTTACATTTCTATAGGTTGTGAGTTAAATAATAAAAAAGTGTTAGTGTTTTAACCGAACTCCTTTAAATCACCAAGTTTTTGAAATTTGGCATAAAATAGCGTTGTATTTATCCTAATCTAGCGCAATTTACTCGACTTAATACCCCAACGCTTATCCTTCCAGAAGCTGAAGTTTAAAACACATTGTACATGCTTCAATAAAAAAAATTGACTTTTATTTTTCTCCCTTAATGACAAAAAACTATCAAACTCAATTTTGATTTTGATAGTTTGTATTTTTCATGGGAGACAAAAATTAAAAAACCTTTATTGCTGATGCACTTTTAAGAGTAAAATTGAAAAAAAATCGAAAATTCAAAATATAAAAGGAATATAAAAGTATTCTTATTATTCATAAAAATTATTTCTTTTATTTCAAACTTTTTTGGCAATTTTATTTTAAATTTTGACTTTTTAAGAAATAACAAGTGAACCAAAAAAAATCTTCCAGTATTTTTCTTTCAAGCGCGATTTTTACTCAAATATTTTACTCAACGGTATGAAAAAAGAAGAGTAATAATGTTTTTTTCAGAGATTTAAACGCAAAAATTGTAATTTCATTCAAATATATTGAAAGGTATTTAACTATAAACGATTAGTGGGAAAGAGGTATAGTTAAATTCAACCATTAATTTATGCACCAATCAATATAAGTGATATGGCTCACTCAATTCGCTGTATTTCCCGAAACAAGTTGCTGTCATTTTGGAGAGATTTGATTTTGACTGATGATTTTGGAGAGATTTGACGCTTATCATAAACTAATTTAGTTTATACGTCACTGTACTGTCATTATTTAACGTAAAGACTTGGCTTTGTAAACAAAATTTTAATACAATAATTTTCAATACTGTATTTATGTGTGTTTGGGTAATGTGTGCACTAGAATCTTTTTATTTTACTATTTATTTCGGAGAAATACTATTTATTTCTTTAGCTTTTGCGCTTTTAAATTCAAGTAAATTTCATTTTTAATCAAAAGGCTGGGTAAGTATTATTATCAATATTTAATTATCTTAAAAATTTCAATATACTCCTGGTAAACCGTTCTTACTCATAAACAATAATATTTAGAATATAAAAGATTATCAACATAACATGCAGTTTTACTTTTAGAAACACGAGCGAAATTCAGTTTTCTTAATTATTTGCATAATAACGAGCAACTTTCATATAATAAAAGTAATTACACATATTATTTCTGATTAGATTGTCGCAATAACCGGCTTTTGTTACGTTATCTATAAATGGATTGGAGAGAAATAAAAGCATTTCGTCAACTAAATACATAAGAGATAAATTAAAATATTTTGAACGACAATAGTTTATTTTCGTAAAAACAAACAAAGTGGGTGTATTTTTTTAAAATAATAAGATGTAGAGGACCTTAATGTGCCAAATTTTTAGTTTTTAATACTAACTTTTCATATTAAAAATATTAAAAGAACTTTAAATTTGCACATTCATTGTTATTGCACACATGTACATCATACGGATATGTACGTATGTATTTGAACATAAATATGTAGTACCGTTTTTTTCACTTTATTGACGTTCTTAAAGATGATAAAATGATTACATATACCTTACTATTTGAAGAAATATGTATATTTAGTCTTAATTTATTATTACATACATACTTGTAGGTGCTAAAATTTGAAATATTTGGTAGGCTTCTGTGTAAATAATATTTTTGATTCTAATATCAAAAGACACTAATATGAGTAATTTTTAAAATTTTTGGTGATAATAATATTAAATGATATGATGACACTCGTCTCTTACACTCATGGCTTAATTAACTACAGCAGGTCATATTTGTGTGTTATTTTTTCTAATTGTGTTTTATTTTATAATTCTATAGTTTAATAAGACTGCCTACTACACAATATGAAGCTTTATTAAAAACTTAATATTTGGTTTTTGTAATAAGTCGTGTTTTTGATTTTATAAGATCTCCATATAATTAAATATAAATATTATCTAACATTTTATTAGAGAGGTACTCGACGAATTAATGATATAATAGCTTTAATTTTGAGTTATATCTAGTATGTATATTATTTTATTGGCATAAAGAATATGCTGTTAACCATTTTAATTTTTATAAACATAATAACGATAATTATTGTCTTACTAGTTTTATTAAGGTGCTTAATTTCCATTTGTGACTATATTTATTGTTCACCACTTCAACTGAAGTATTCAATATTATTTTTATTATTTGTATATTACAGACAAGATTATTTTCCTTATGAATGCTTACATATAAGTACATACGTCGTATATTGAACTATCATTAATTGCAAATAATGCAGGAACAAATAATATTCAGTAGTTTTTATAAGTAATTAATAAATATATTAGTGGCATAATTATTTGCTATTGAAATTGTAGTACAATATATTAAAATTAAAATTGAAGCTTTAAGCAAGAAAATTTGCTTCCAAATTTTAAAACTTCTAATAATATAAATTTATATCGGAAAACATTAAAATATAAAAAGTATGTACGTTATGTATTTATGTAAAAAAGTTTTTTTATTTAATGAAATAAATAAAAATATGTAGCTAAACTTTAAAATCTACCTTTATTAATTATTTACTTAATCTAAAAATGTAAATATGCATATCTAAATATGAATTTATATTATTGCATGTTTTTTGAACATACTTCTATGTTATGAAAACGTGTTATCTTAATTCTACATTATATTGTAACTAAATTTTAATCTCTTTTATCTTTAGTTAAAAATTTTAACCCTTTTAAAATGCTTCCATTGTTGTACGTTGTACGATCTTCAAATGAAATTCCACCACTTTTATCTGATAATAAACTGCATGGATATTCTGCTCCTTTATTTTCTCTACCATCCCATAAAAATTTTATAATATATTTTTCATCTGGTATTAAAACAATTTTGTTATTTAATAAAATATTAATATCACAGTTATATGTAAATATTTTATTATTAGAAATTTGACTATGTTCCATGACCAGTTCTTTTTCTCCATTACTATTATATATTATAGAATAAATTTCAATTTTAAACGATTCCTTATATTCATTATTATTATTATAATTAATAGAAGCTGGCACATAATTATTTCTATTATTGGAATTAATAGATGGATTGGGTTTAAGTCGACTATGTATTATTAAACCAATTAATGATATAAATTGATCTGATTTTATGGCAACCTCAAATTGATTGTTTGTTTCATTAACTAAAAAAGGCTGACAAGCTTTATAATATGTTCTTTCAATAAATGCGATTCGTCCTGGAATTATTAATCATATTAATAAATTTAAAAAAAAATGGACAAAAAAACCAAATTTAAAATAGAGCTTACCGATTTCGATTTCAATCCCTAAATTGCTATTTGTTGAATTCGAATCAAAATATTCATTTTCAATAATTGCATTTATATTGCTACTAACATTATCAAAAATTAATTGATTATTTTTTATTTGATCATCTTTAGATATGTTTTCGAATTCTGTAGTTTGCAATTGTTGTTTTTGATCAAAATCATTACGTAACCATTCTTTTATAAACCAATATACATATATTTTACATTTCTTATCTTTTAATAAATTCAAAATTTCCATAACACCATCCTTTGACAAGTGATAATATGATGATTTAATTGTTAACATAAATTTTCTAGCACCATTTTCCGATGATAAACAATATTGTTGAAAAAATTCTAAACAAATTTTAATTATTTTCTCGAAATTTGTATAAATCGCTAAGTCTAATGTTTGTAATATATTATCGAAACGTAATTTTCTTTTGATTGCTAATAATGCTTCATTTTGTAAATCTTTTATTAAATATTTTTCACTGCAATAATAAAGTTCAATAAGATCTTCTATATTTTCTTCAATGAAATTTAATTCACTAGTATAAATAAACATTAATAATTTATAAAACATTTCAGGTGATATATCAGAAATTCGTATAGTTTTAATTCCAGTTGAATTATTATTGTCATTAAAATTTAATGGACCATACAGCATTGCTTCAAATACTGGGCTAGATGTGGCTAAAATTAATTTGTGAGCTTTAATGATGTGATCATCAATACAAAATGAACAATCCCAATATTTTTCCGATTTAAATAATTGATAAAAACGATGACTTAATGGTGTAGTTGATGATGAAGATAAAATTGAAGACATTTTTTGCCCTTTTATCTCATAATTAATGTTATCTGAATTGAATATGGAATAGTTATTTGTAATCTGTTTGCAATTATTGTTTTCCATTTTATTTTCTATATTGTTAATTATCCTGAAATATAATAAAATAATTTTTTTAATAATAATATTGAAACTAATATTTATTAATTTTTATCATTTATGTAAATAAACAAAATCAATATGCTTAATTAACTTTTTCATTCATATTTTATTTAATCGAAATTTTTCTTTCTTTATTTTGTTTGTAAATAATATTATAATTAGTTTGGAAATTTATTATTTTAAGTAATTAAGAGCTAAATCGAATTTTCGAGGATTATTTTAACTAAATAACTATCAGTTTTTAATTTAATAATGTTGTATAAATTAAATATTGCGTATTTACTATTTATTTATACTTTTCATATTAATTTATTATTAATAATAAATTTATTATTAGGTTATATAATGCTTATAAATAAATTAAAGGTAAATCACCTATATTGTATTAATAAATGCGCACTTCATAAGCTAAACAAAATAAAATAAATGTAAAAACAAAATAATGGTATACAGGGTGGCAAATACAAAACATTCATATTAAAGTTTAGTGTAATGTAACGCTTCAACCCAAAACAGGAATATTTTAATTTTATTTTAAATTAAGATCTGATTGAAAATAAACATTTTATCCGGAAGTTTGATAATGTTTAACTAAATGGCTTCTGCCATTATTGAAATATTTCACTTATTTCTTAAAGTTTTGGAGGTTATTGTTAACCATTAAATCTTAAAACAATATATAATGAAATGAATAATTTATGATGCAGATTATCTGAATGTTTTTAAAAATTCAGAACTACATTAGTAATTTATAGTTAAAAATAAGATATTTGTGTTGACAACAATTTTAAATTAGTTGAAATTTGTAGCAGCTGTTATATGTCAACACTGCCATTTCGACTAAATATCTGATCGTGCTGCAAGTGAGTTCTTATTTAACTTACATAATAACATAATCATATTAGATTATTAAAGACACTACTTTAATAGCAGTAAAAATACTAACTAAATAAATTCTTCTAACTGTCGAAATTGACCTAAGTTATAATTGAATTGTCGAAAACATGGTATCTTTAAGATGTTAATATATACATATATAATTATTATTAAAATTAATGTTAAATTATTAAAATTATTATTATTGTGATTATTATAATTTATTATAAGAAACTTATTAAAAATTTACAGGCGTGTAGTTTTGTGCCTCCTTGTATAATTAGGAATATCAAAAAATAGTATCAATGTGTAAATAATTTGATAGAGTGTTTATTATTTCAATAATTAACTGAAGTAATTTTAACTCCCATGCATTGATTTTTTCTAAGAAAAACTTGATTATCTCGCGCAATAAAATACAAATTATGAACAAATTTTATGTGTATTTATCATGTAATTATATTTATTATAATAGTCCTGAAGTGCATTATCAAAAGATTAACATAAATTACAAAACATAATGAAAATTACGTATTTTATTTAGTTCATAAATTCGTTCTGTACAAGTATGCATAGACACTTTATATTTTTGAAGATGATAGTATATCGAATGCTTCTACTTCTAGAGCTATTAGTTTCTTTTTTCTGGCTATGTTATGAGCATTAATTTCTTGTTGTCTAATAGCATTTTCTTCTTGAAGTTTTTGTCCTTTTTTGAATAAAAAATTTTCTCATTAAAGCCATAAACTATTCCAAAAACCAAAAATGTCCACCTTGTAGCTTTTAATAAAGGGGACACCTTTACTGGTGCTTCCCATTTAATGGTCATAATACAATTTATTCCCGTATTTTTAAGATTTCATTTCTTTTAAAGTTTAATTTACATTATTCTAAAAACTACTTTTGACGGAATTTTCAAAGCCCATTAAAAAGAAATTTTAAAATATAAAATTTATTATTTCCTTGTGCAATAACTACTGAATCGTAATTGTATCGATACTGACAAGACAACATTAGCCACGCAACATTGTTTTATATATAGATTGAAAAACTAATTTTACTAATTAACAAGTTATTTGTAAATTTCTTTCATAATATAGTTTAAACTTCAAATTTTCAGATCTTTGAATCTTTTCTTTTTGATTATTTACATATGAAGTTTCTTCTCCAATCTGAATTTCACTCGTTTAAAATCAAAGTTAATTATAATTTGAAAAAATTATTATTATAATTGAGTTCAATTAATTTTTAAAATAGTCAGATATTAATTATACCCGTACAAACGAATTCGGGTACCTGCCATACAACTTCCACATTTATTTGGCTATATCGCAGAAGCTATAAAAGCTGTGGTATTGTAATTTCACACAAACGAATATATCAGCCAAATGCTTGATAAATCCTTCTGGTTGTTTATCTCCTTCTGGTAGTTGCCATAAAACTTCAAAAGTTATTAGGCTAAATCTTAGAAACTATAAAAGCTGTAGTATTGAAAAGTTATGTGGCATTATGTCAGAAATTATTGGAATTATAATATAGAAATTTCGTGGAAACAAGTGTACTTTTAGGGCTGTTATGTGTGATAAAAATCGTTGAAATTTCTTGGCTCCTTCTGGCACCTCCTATACAACTTTAATAGTACTGTGGCCATATCTTACAAAATATTAAAAAAAACACAGGACTGAAATTTCGCATAAATTAATATGGTAATACGGCAACTTGAAGTCATCTGTCCCATAGTCAGCTATGGAATATTTACTCTCACAGAGGATAGCAAATTCGTACTGGTATCACAGGGTTGATACGGTCAACCCTATTTTTCCTCATTTTTTATTTAAATTTGGATGGCTCTTGAAAAAATAGCCTTTAAATTTTTCTAAATTATCTAAGAAATTTTGTTTATAAACAATATTGCGCAAAACGAAAGCATATTTTTCGAAGAATAAGAAGACTAAGATTTAAAACATCCATTATAAAAAATAACATAAATAAAATAATTCTAAGTTTTCAATTGTTTCACAAGAGAAAAATTTACTTTGCTTAGATGTTTGTGTTTTTAAATAAATTTTTTAAGAAAATTCACATTGTTTCCATTAAGAATAAAAACCGGAAAAAAATTACAATAAAATTTGTAGCTCTCCTTGCTATAACATTGTTAATTACATATGTACATACATACATAATGTTGACATTTTATATAAAAGGAAAAAAAAACAAAACAAAAAGTTTTCGTTTTAAACTTCTAGTAAGCCTAATATTATAATAAGTAACAGCTATATGTATGTATACATATATATTTATATACATAATACATAACATTACTATAACATAACATTACTATGTATACATAACAAAATTATTAACTATGATTCAATCAATATTTGAATATAAAAAACTCTTTGATACTATTTTTAAGTTCTTCCGAATGCAGTCTAATATGAAATAATTTTTCCATTCATAATATTCAAAATAATGCTCAACAAAATTGTTGTGATTATTTTAATAATCAATTATTAAGTAGTACAAATTAATACTGGGTATTCTGTTTTTCCATTTTTCGATAATGTCTACAATATTTAATGATTTATTGTATGGCTAAGGGATGGTATGGAAAAATTGCTAATTGTTTTTTCTTAGCTTAATTTTAATTAATGATACTGGCCTTAAATGTTTCAATTTTATATAACCTTAGTTTATAAGGCCTTAAGCCTTAAATATTCGGTTGTTAAATTTGAGGCAATTTTAACTTATAGTATTAGAGTATGTTAATTGTAATAGATTTTGAATTTTGTAAAGTTTTTGAGTTAACGTAATACACTGAAATGTTAAATAATAAACATAACTATTTTTATGAAAAAATGTTAAATGTTATATACCATTTTATATATCCACAATGATAGCTTTACCATTTAAAACTAATTGACACTTTAACAGTGAGGGCAAATATGTTCACATACAGTTCTGCAAGAACTAATCTATGGAAATGTATATAGTATATATGTATATACATATGAATATATTAAATTAAAATTTTTATATAAACAAATCCTATGGTTGACTTGTTCTCAATTTAAATTTGTTTTTATTCAAACACTTGATTCTTTTTACTATTTTCAAAAGAACTTCCGTAAATAAAAGATTTTATAAAATGAATATGTAGCTTTTTTTTATTTAATTATTTTATACTCTTATTTGTGCGCCTTATTTAATTAAGAAATTTTTTTATAACAACAAAATACATACATGGTAGTTATTTACATATTGTTACTCTCAAATTAATTTATTTTTTATTTATTATTAATGTTGTCGTAATCGCAAATCACAGTAATAGTAAAAGAAAAAGTTATGATAGTAACATTATAAGGTTATTATAAGATTAACGATTTAATAAAATTTTACGATTTAATAATTTGAAAATAATTGAAATTAATTTATACATATACTTATACAGAAAAATATAAAAAAATGTAGACATTTAATAAAAGGAAAATCGCCTAATACAATTTTAAATACAATTTTTAAAAAATGTGAAATTGTAATTTTGATTGTAAGCATAAATTCTAAATACATAATATTCTAAATACATAATATACATTAATACATAATTATGTATACATATTTAAATTTTTCACTCAAAAATCCCTAAAATAATTATAATTGTTTACACACACATATAATAATTATTCGTTCCAATTTAATAAAAATGAATATTTTAACATAAAATCTATGTATGTATGTATATATGTAAGTTACTGAAATAAGAAATTAATTGAATATAAAAAATTAATCTAACTTTTTAAATTAAAAGTATAATTTTTAAATGAAATAAAGAATTTTTTTGTGTACAATATACAGATGCAGGTACTTTAAATAGATTAATCGCTTTGATTAACTACAATAAAGATTTGTAATCATTTTTGATTATTAAAAGATACCTACGAGAAATAGTCAACAAATTATTCTAATGGACAACAAATAGAAATTATTTTGTGCTAAATTATATTTAAGTTATATTTGTTACACATTTTGACAAACTCATGACTATATAGGTAATTCTAAATCCTTGAATAATTCTTCTGCGTAAGTTTAAAATATAAAATTTAATTAAAAAAGTGTAGAAAAGCAACTGACTGACTGTCTGGTTTTATTTTAAATTTTTTAACTTGATATACATTTTATATTAATTACAGTAACTGATATATTTTTATATTATATTATGTTTATTAAAATATTTGAATAAATTTTACTTGAAATCTTACCTTTACTTGATTTTTAAATACAGCAGCTGGATGTTAAAGAGATGCTCTAAATAAAAGATGCTTTATGCTCTATAATAAAAATAATTAACGCCTCATAAATTTTTCTCTCTTCTAAATAAGTTGGAGATCAATATTATGTATGTAAGTTTGTGTGGGCATAGGCATACCAATTGGCTTATATGATAATGATAGTTTATTTTTTAAGCAGCTATTCTTCTGGTATTTTTTTTTTTAAATTCTTATTTAAAATTATTATATTTATATAAATATACAATTACTTATAATACATAAATATATTATGTTTTTAACAAAATTAATTTTTTTTTTTTATAAAATTAACCACAAAAATTATAGCTCGGCACGATATCACGAATAAAATATAAAATATTTTGTTTAACTATTTTTCAAAATCAAAATGTTTTTGTGGCAATGTCAAAAATGTTTAAATTTTTAAAGTAAATAAAGTCTATTTTAATATTTTTTTTTATATTGAAAATATTTTTTTATTTTTCAAATATATTGAAAATAATATGTATAGGTAGGTGCGTTTATATATGTTTATATAAATCAAATATGATCAACAGGTGTTGCAAAATGATATATGTATTTATTAATATTAAATATTAACTTTATAAAATTAAATATTAATTTAATAATTTTATATAACAATATTAAAGAGTTTTATTCAAAAAAATCCATTTCATTTAAAATTTATTACAAAATAAATTTGAATTACGTAAACATTTTGTGTTCTTTAAAAGAAAAAAAAACAAAAACGCTTATAATTGCTAATTTTTAAATCATACTTAATTATGTCAATTTTATTTTAAGTTCATTTAATATTATAAATCATAATTTTTTTTCCTTTGATTATTTAATATTGTTTTCAATTGGTTTCAATAAAATTTAATTTTTTTAATTATTTAAATTTTTTTTTTATTTTATATTTTTTACGCAATTTTACTGAATAACTAAATATAATATTTTTTTGTATATCTACATATATACATTTAATTTTTTTTTTAACTTTATTCTATTAAGAATATTGTGTTAGAATGAAAAATATTCTTGAACATTGTACTTTACAATTCAAATGATTATTTTATACTAACTTTCGTTTGCAATATATATTATTTTCTTATAATAACCTCGTGTTAATATTAATGTACATATATACATATATACATACATCTAAAAATATTAAATACGTGATATTGTTTAATATTTAATCATATATAATACATGTTATATATTATGATATATGCGTATACAAGTATTGTAATAAATATGTAATAATTTCTTTGTATATAATTATTATATTCTATCTGTGTATCTAAAGTTCTACTTCTAAACTATCACCTTCTCGGTGATTTCATTTAGGGTTGTACATAAATTCTATTCAAAAGAAGTACATATTCGATATTTTTTGTTGAACATAATTTAGATCGGTAAGAAAAATAATATAAGATCTCTTTTTGAGATCATATTAAATATTTATTTAAAAACTTATTAGTTAATTGTCTAATAACAGTGTTTTAGTTCAACAAAATTTATTGTTTAATTAATTGACAAGTTGTATTAAATTTAACATAAGTTACACTTTGACGTTACCAAAAATTAACTCAATTAATTCTCAATCAAATTATTTTAAAACTCACCTCGAAACTTGGTACTCGTATATGTATATTAACATTTGACAAGTTATTTTTTAATTTTTCTCACATAGAGACAAATAATTTATATCAAGTACGGTAAAATGGAATTGGGATTGTCTAATTTTGTGGAAATATGCATCTTGTTTAATAAGACAAATTGACATTTTCAAAGATACAAGTATAATTATTTTACTAATTTTGTTATTAATTTCTTGTTAAAAACGAAACTGCTACTAAACGAGACATGAAATTAAACATTATAGTTGAGGAAACAAGTATTTTTTAAATAATTCACACAAATTATTTAAAATATTTAAAAAAATTAATCGTACCATTTTAAATTAATAACAGAAAATAAAATAATTCCACACATTTTCACATCCCTGAATAAAATTGCGATATTTTTAAAAACTGATATAAATGTATGTAAACTATGTTTTGGCATATATATGTATACATAAAGCATTTAACCTAATGTAGATATTGAATATAAATAGTATTATCGTTTTATATCATAAAATAGCAGTTGAGCTCCTTTTTAGATAGCTTTGCTGTGATGCAACTCAAATATTAAAGAGAAAATAGCGAGGATGGTAGTAATAATTTTTAGAGTAATAATTTAATAAAATCGAGATAGCAAATAATTTTTCAATTTTCAAATTAAAAATTTGTTTTAACTTTGTTTTAAATATTTGATCATACCTTTAAAAATTGAAAATTGTAAGCCAAAGTTAATTAATAATATGAAAACTCAACTTAAATACTTATGTATTTTAAAGAGCAAGCGGCCCCGTGCAAGTTTTCTTCTAAAATTTATAAAAGTATAACTTCTATCAGATTCATACATATTTATTGTTCCCTACTTTTTTACTTCTTAAATTTTTTTGAAAACCGGAAACACCTTATTAACAATGATTGAAATTGAGAACAATTCTAAACGAACAGCTATTCTTTGCTAAATTTTTAATTTGTTTTGTGAATGAAATTAATTTTTCAGAGTATTAAATACTACCACACTATAACGCTATTAAATATATACCTACATACGAATTTTACCTGTTGAGATACAATCGTACCTGTGGATGGTGTATTTATAGAATATAATATGAATATAGATATTTTGTATGTATGGAAATACGCTTGCTTATAAGAACGAATATGTACATATATAAAATTATAAACTTTATACTTTTGCTGTTTTGTTTTGTTCTCTCAATTCTTCAAAGAGAACTAACTAAAATAAAAAAAAAACACATAATGTACATGCATTTATATAGATAAACTCATATGTATTAAAATTTAAATATCGCCATGATATTTTGCCTAAATTACTTAAGACCGTACAATTACAGTACAATCACATGATGCTTGTACTTGAGCTTCTAATAAAGCGAGGTGAGATACTACGATAGAAAGGTGCTTATAAAAATAAGTACTTGTGTATATTTAATTTAATACAATTTTTTTTTATCTAAATATATGTACATACATTTCATTATTTATGTTCTACAAAAGTTATAGAACTAATTACAAACGGAATTAATATTTGTATCTCGGAAAGCAAAGGTATGGTATAAATATTAAGGTATAAATCTTTTTATACCCTGCATTTTTGATATTTACTTTGGCATGGAGTTTGTAATCACTTGAAGAAGTCGTCTGCGATATGAATATGTATATTCGTATACATACTCGTATTCTTTCTCAGCGTAAAATTTTGCGTTGATTTAGATATTCAACGTAAATTTTTGAGTTAGCTGTTTTTTTTCTGCCATTAACTATTCCATGGACTTTGATCTGCCATCGATTTCTATTGTAATTGGACGAATTCGGACAATAGATTCGTGTAGCTGCCATACAACTCAAAAGCTAATTTCAGAAAAATTATTAACTTAGATAGTCGTGGGTCCAATTATAGCCCACATATGTCCGTGAAGTTTTTTTGGAATGTTTTGAACTGCCATGCAACTCTTAAATTTTACATCTATGTTGCATTTGAAAAAATACAAACTTGTAAAAGATTCTCTTCTTTTCCAAACTGACTGTTACAGTGCATTCTATTTATCTAAAAACTATGAAATATTTTTCAAAAAATTATTGCCTTCATCAATCATAAATTCATTTAAAATTTCACGGCATTCGCTATGTGCTGCAGGTTACAAATACATTTTTATTTTATTTTCTTTACTTGAGCTTTACACAGCTTTATTCTCTGCTTTTTTGATTTTTTTTTTTGATTCTCTTGCGTTTAAACTACTTATTTTATAACTATCAATAGTTTGTTGCTCTTTATCACCTTTTATGCGAAAGGTCAACTAAAAGTAATCTAGTTTTGCTATAAAAGAAATTCTGATATATACCATGCAAACTCGATATTTTACTCAAAACATCACTTACTTATTCATGTTAACTATAAGGACCTATAGAAAATATTTGTGTTTTACGCTCTAGATGCTCGTAAATGTGTTTAAAAAATATTTTTATTGCAGAATATTTTGTTATTCTTAAAACAAGAATGTTTTAGACATTGCATTTGATTATCAGCAAATATAAAGAAAAAACAAAAAAGGATGCTGCAGACATTTCTAAATCTTCATTATAAAAGTACATGTATACATTTTTACAGCATTAACCTTGAACTCAAGTACAAATTCCGATTGTTTTATAGATATACTTTTAAAAAAACTTTGAAAGAACGTTTAAAATATAGTGAATGTTTGTACCTATATGTATAAATATAAAGATGTTATGCATTATATTACTATACAAATATTTTTAATATAATACATAGTGAAATTTAAGATTCATAGCGAAATTTTTAAGAGTAAATGTGATTCTGCGAGTGGTCATACAAGTTTTTGAAGATTATACTTATAATCAGAGTCGGATTTACTATCTGAAGGTGTGTATTTACTCAGAATAATAGGGAATTGTGGAATTTCTTAGTTGGATTATTTAAAGATTGACGTATATACCCAAAAATATTATCAAAACACAGAGAAAGTCGGATTTTGATTGTATAAAATTAAAAACATAAATTTTCGTCAACACTCGATTTTTTGGAATTTAGAGGAACAAAGTAAAAGAGAATCATTTTGAATTTCTATCCAAGCTATTTCTACCCAAGCAACGTTACACATCTTCTATTGCATTATTTTTTTTTATTTTTTCAGAATTTTCTTTTTGATCTACAAGCCTTTTTGGGAACTTTCCAAAACATCATCATAGAATTCCTTCCACATTGTTGTGAACTTGTTCCACTAGTCAATTAGGCTGTTCCCCGTAGTCTTTTTAACATACGAATAAACCCGTCACTGGCTTGTTATAAAATAATATTCATCACATTGGATTCGGCATTTTATTCTTTCCTCTTATTTTTTTTTTTGTATTCATCTTAAAATATCGTCATATATATGTATCTATATATTTGTAGAAAGTTATTTATTTTAGAGACTTGCTTAAAGTTTTTAATAGCAACCTTACCTACATATATTTTTTTGTAGTTTCTTGTATGATTAATTAAACTGTTTTTGTTTTTGATATATGAATTCTAACAACGTAATTCTCTTACTAATATTATTAAATAAATAGCCAATATGGAAATGTACCTTGTTTGCTTACATTTACGTTAAATAACAAAATTTCAAAACGTAATTTGTCAAACACAAAATTCTATCAGATAATTTGGAATAAAAGTAAGTTTTTCGTTAGATCATAATTATTGCAGACATATCACTGTAATTCAAAGAGGACCATCTGCTGCTTTTAGTTGCTTTACAAGAATATAGCTATAAAGTATAAACAATGGAATAATTTTGATCTAAATTACCTGAAATTAAATTTTTAGGAATTAATTTACTAATGATCTATTCAATATGACAAAGCGCACATACAAATCCAAATTCCATTAAATTAAAAGCTATTGCTCACAACAATTACTTACCTTATTTTCTTAATATCTTTTTAATTTAAACATAAAAATGTGGTAACTTTGTAATTAATTAATATAATTCATTTAATTCTTTTTTTTTTACTTCATAAAACTATGAAATTGTTTATTTATTGAACTATTATTTAATATTAAAATATATTTTTGTATTTTTAATCATTTTAGCACTTTTTCAAGTCTTAATGATTTTCCACGGGAGCGTTCATCCGAATTCTGCATGGAGCTGATATACTTAACTTATTCAACTTATTTATTATGAAACAAATACTTTTCCTCTATATAATCACTGCTTTGAAATACCCAATTTATGATTACAAATGGCAACTGTCTCGAATAAATGAATATTATAAAAAGGATAACATTCTTTTAGAGAAATTTTCATTGCAGATACCATCAAAATGTGAACATTTTGCAAATCAAATCACATTTAGTGAAGATTTTAAACATTCTATCAATTCATTTTTTGGTGTAAAAGATATTTACTATGGCAACTTTAAGGATTCTATAAACAGAATAATTCCAGTTGTAATCAAATATTTTGGAAATGATAATATTAACAAAATAATTTTGGAGAATAACGAATCTTTTCATATCAATCACAATCAATCAAATGAAGTGGAAATTATTGAAAATTTAAAAAAAATGTTTTTAAAACAATCTCATTTGGAAGGAACTAAATTTTGTTCTGAATCTAAAGGAATCGATAGATTTATAGATCTATGGAATCACAATAAATCAAAATTACTCAAAATAATATATTTAAATAATAATATACAATTATTATTACTACCAATATTACAATTAGCAAATGAAAAAGAAATTTCATCTTCTAATAATCAAAGAAAATATCAAATACCAAAAGTTTATGAAATTTGTGGTAATACAATGTATCAATCATACGATGGTCAATTATTATTAAATTATTTTAATTCATCATTTGAATTAAAATTAAAAATAACCAAACAATTAATTATTGGAATGGAACAGTTTACTGAAGGTATCAGTGGATTTCGTATATATTTAACAGATTTTAATGCTGATAATGTAGTTTTCAATGAAGAAACAGAAGAAATTTCATTTATTGATTTGGATAATGTAATTATTGTTGATTCAACGAAAATACTTGAAGTAAAATCACATACTCACGAATTTATTGAATGTTTGGGCTGCTTTGCTTATATTCCGGAAGAAATATGTTCAGCATATATAAGTGATTTGAATTATTTTGCAATTTGTCAATTCTTAAGAGAGGATTTATATAAAAATGTTAAAAATGGTTTTTTATATCCAATTCCAAAGAAATACCATAGGAAACTTATGTATTTACTAGACACCTGTTTCAATTATTCATCTATGTTAAAGCAAAAATATGCTAGCCGGTATGCAATTATGAAAGAATTATTAAATGAAATTGATAATATAATAATGTGATATACTTACATATATATAAATATTTGATATATAACGTAAATAAATGTAATCTCAAAACAAAAACAAATATGATATAAATTTCAAAAGTACATATATTGAATCAATTTAAAAGATAACTTTTAGCAAATATTTTTAAAGAAATGCAAAAGAAAAAACAAAAACTTGATTAAACTTTATTCTTAGAAACTTTTTCTCTGGCAGCTTTTATATCAACTTTAAGTGTTTCTATTTCAGTGAAAATTTGTTGTGCCAAAAGACCTTCTGGAGACTTTTCAGGTTCATATTTGAGCATTAAGTACGCTTCCCTTAAAATCTTTTCAGCTTTAAGTAGTTCATTCTAAAATATACATTAAACATACAATTAAGAATAATTTAAACAAACTTAGAAATAAATTAATAATTAATTTTAATTAATATTATATTGTAATTTTAATTAAATATGGTATACACAAGAATTTTTTGTATATAACATAATTTTATAAAACAATTTATAGTTTATAAATTTGAATTTTGAATAAAATAGAGCTAATAACCAAAATTTGATGTAAGAAATTGTAATTTAATATTGCAATGATATTGTAGTAGAATTAAATTTTTAGTTTTAAAGAAAATGTATTAAATACTAATGTAAACGAAACATTAAAATATTTTATATCTGCTAATTGCATGTAAAAGAAAACATTTTATTTTTACCAAATGATGGTGATCTCCACCATCTTCTTCTAATCTAGCCAACTCGATAATTGGTCTATAATACTCAAATAAAGCAATTCCCTTAATTCTGGATATTCCAGGCAATATAATTCTTAAAATTGGTAAAATTTGCTCGCATAATTGCAATTTTCTTCTCATATGGCCCTTACAACCCGTATATTTTGAATCATCACACATTGAACGTAAAATTGCTGCAATATTTTGCTTCAAATCCAAGATGAAATAATGATGATCATGTAAATGCTCAGCTAACGTTAGCAATAACATTTCCATTTTGCAAATATCACCTTGAGCATCATCAACTTGCTTTCCAATATTAACCAAATATTCTTCAATCTCTTTATATGGTGTTATTTTTGAACATTGATCACACATCCATTTATTATCACCATAATTCAAAACATAACCATATTCAGCACAATTATCTTCAATGCATTTTATACATTTTATAGCACTTATATATGATCCTAATTCAGTTGGATCCTCACATCTAGGACATTTACATGTAAAATATTTTCCCAACATTAATTGTTTTCTACGTTCATTGGATCCCTTAAAAAAAATGCAATATATAAATTTCTCAAAAAACAAGATAGAGTAAAGCTTAAAATGTTTTTAAACTAACCAAGAAAGGTGTTGTATAGTTGTAATACAAAATATCACCTTCCTTAATATTTGTAGTAGCATAAACTTTCATTTCATATTCATCATCAACAGCAACTGCAATATTTGGTATACAGCTGTGAGCAAATAAACATGCTTTCATAAAGCAAGCTCTTAATGAATCTTCTCTCGGACCACGCACTTCAAACATATTAACATCAAAAATTGCACAAATTTTTTGAATAAAATCAGATTCAAGGATATTGCATTTTTTTAAATATTTCCCCATTCCAGATTTTTTTAACGGTTGTACAACTCCTTCTTCTAGCAGTTTCCATACATCACTATTCTTACGATTATTTAAATGTGATTCCATTTTAAGAATTTCATTGAAATAACCATCATTTAATGGATTCTCTAAAAAGAGTAAAAATCGAACTGGGCCAAACAATTTAAAATTCTCCACTAATAGATTTCGTGAAATATCAGTGTGCTCTTGGAAGAAATTACATTCAAATGATCCATGCTGTACGCAATTGTTACATAATGGGAAAACATTGCACTTTCTAAAATCAAAAGAAAATATAAATATTTTAAAGTAAAGAACTAAAATAATTTTATATAAAAATCAATGATTTTTTTTATTCAAAATATTTTAAACATTACTGGCAAATTTTTAAAGATGGATGATAACATTTACTGCAAACCAAATTTGAATCCCAATGGGGTGTTATTAAAACTGGTTTCTCATACAATATTTCTTCTCCAGCCCGTATATTCTTTGAAGCTGTGACAAACCTAAATTACATTAATTTAATTATTATTTTATAAGAATTAATATCATTTGATTTCAAACAGAAATGAAGCGAAAGAATAAATTGAAAACAAACGACTCCACTCCGGTCTTATTCGGAAATTTTTCTAATTAAAATTTAATTTTAATGTTAATATTTTAAAATAAAGAATCATATCAAATTAATATATAAAAAAGTATATATAAAATTATACTTAAAATTAATACGAAAACTGAAAAGGAAATTTCAATTTGCTTTACGTGAAAATTATGTAATAATTCAAACTAATATAAACTAGCATTAATATAAAGCTAAGATATCAATTAAAATATACATATGTATGTACTGAAAATTATTTGTATACCATTATATTATTAAGCATTAAATAAAAATCAATAGTTTTATTATTAAAGCTCCGGAAATTTGATTAAATTGTAAAATATTTTGTTAATATTTATAAAAATGTGAAATTGCTTTAAAAGAAGAACTCTTAAAAAAAAAGCCATATTAAATATTAAATTAATTTAAAATAAATAAAAAGCAATAAAAATATTATTTTATTAAATTTTTGTTATTAATTCAATTATTATTAATTTTAGTTTTTTAATTTTTTATTTATTTTGTTTTATATTTCGTCTTATGAAATTTTTAAACAAAACCAAAAAATTATTTAATTAATTTTAAAAAAATAGCCAATTTTATATAAAATGAAATGAAAAAGAAAAAATTACCTTATACTTTTACCTTTGTCAAATCGTCTACATACAGAAATTATGAAAAATAATGAATTAACAATAAATATTTATGTAGTATTTGAATGTTGATATAAATTTTTTAAAATAAAAAAAAAAAAATCCAATTAATAAACTAATCTTAACTAAATTTAATGTACAATATTATAAAATTTGTTAAATTTTTTGCTAATTGAAAAAGCTATACATTTATTATTTATCAGCCTGTCCTCATAAATTTAAATTCTATTCGAATGAATTTAATTTGATTTTTTGAAGTATTCTTTTGTATTTATTTCTTTTAAAAAAATTGTTGTAGTCTTTTTAAAACTTTTTTAAAATTTCATTTTTTTTAGCTTGGAATCTTTAAAATTTAATTTATAAAAAAAAAATATTAGGGATTTTGTACTCATTGATGTATTAATGCAAAAATAAAGGGAGAAAAAAAATTAATTTCCCTCCAATTTGTAAACAACCGAAGGAAATTTCCGATGTAAAATATGTTTTTTATTTTGTAATTCAAAAATATTTAAAAAAATTAATTTTTTCTATTCACAAATTGACATTTAACAAACAACATAAAATAAAAAAAAATTTAATTATTTTTTAAATCAAAACAAAATTTTTTTTTAATGCCATTTTTAAAATTCTATTCTACGTTTTTTTTAGACAAAAAATGTGCACTTGTGAAGGAAATTTTTTTTACATGTAAATTATTGTTATAGCAGTGTTTGTTCTAATACATCAATACATCGATACCTTTTACACTGCCCAGTGCGGACCCATATTAATTTAAAAAAGAAAAATTTGAAAAATATTTCACAAACATTTAATACAAAATATTTAAAAAGTACAAAAGAAACAAAATAAAAAATTTTTATTTTTACTATAAAAATTGTAAAAACTAACTATATGTACATAAATAATGGTACTTTTATATTGTCATATTATTTTTACAAAAGAAAACTTTTTTACTTATCCATAAAAATTTAAAAATAAAACAAAAATAGACAAAGTGAATTTAAAAATATACACAATTGAAAAAACAAAAAAATTATTAAAAAATATCAAAAATTCAAAAAGCATGTATGTATGTGGATATTTAAGTACATAGTGTAAATTATTCTATTGTACATATAGATATAAAATATATTTTAATAATAGTATCTATATAAAAAATGTGTTTTTTTTTTTTTATAAAAAAAAAGCAAATTAAAAACTTGATGTTTTTTATTTTATTAATGAGATTTAAGAAAATAAATAATTATTATATTGATAAATTTGCTAGCATGCCCCCCAAAAATAAGGTCACTGTACTCCAAATGAAAAAAGCTTAAAAAATTTTGTATAAAGAAAAAAAAAACAAAATTCTTACCAAAAAAAACATGCTACTTTCTTATTTTTTTTTTTTTTAGGAATGGCTATTGTTGTTGGTTTCTATATGTATTGTTTTATATTTATGTACGTTTGAACATTATGTTTACTATTGTATGTATTTATGATACAAATATTTTATTGTATGGTATAAGTGTTATGGTATTTTATTTATTGATGTGCAAAATTTGTTTGTTAATATTGAAAATTTTGTGCAAAATAATATTATAAAATACTAGGTGATAGACGACAAATACTTTTTATATTTAGACACATATACAAAAATTCAAATACTAATTTTTAAACACAATAAAAATTTAAAGTGCAATAATACGCTTTTGTGTTTGTATAACTACAATAGCTTTAAAAATTATTTCATTATTTAAAAACAAAATGGGTTTAATTATTAAAATTGCAAATAATTGTAAAATATTAGAATTGTTTTTTTTTTTTTTATCTTGTTCTCCGAAATGCACCTTAAATCACATCACAGAAAATTAACATATATATATGTATATATGTATATGTATATATAATTATATATATATATATTATTTGAAAGTTTTTAACTTCATATAAGTTTTCTTCTCTTTTCCTATATTATATAATAAACCACAATCTTATAATTTATGTATAGTGTGGTATTGAGAAAAAAAAAAAATATTCTTTCTTTTTGAATACTACAAAAAAATAGCGAAACTAAATAATTATTTGCGTAAAAAAATTCAGAAAAAAAAAAAATATCCAAAATAGTATTGAAACTACTTATATAATATGAAAATTTTACCTTTCGATATTTTGATCAATGCCTTTTGAACATGGAATATTATAACTAACACTAAAAGTATTTTATAAATAATTATTATATCGTTTTATTTTACTTATATTTAATGATTATTTTTTTTTTTAATTTACTATTTATTATTTTAATTATAAGACTTAATCTTAATTATAAATCGATTTGATGACTTTAAATTTCATATTTAATATGAAATTTTAAAGGAGTTAAATCGCAAATATTTATTATTATTATTGTACACCTCATGTCTCATATAAACACATTTTTAATTTATAATTTTAAATTGTTAACATTTTAAAATTAAATATTTCTAAATATTATGTACATTAATTTAATATACAATATTGTAGAAAAACTTTTTCTCAATAAGTTATTCTTATATTATTAAAAATTTCAATAATTATAGCAGATATTTTATTAAAATTTGATATGTAAGTTTTGATCTATACCGAAAAATATTAGATACGAGTATTATTCAGATAAGCAAAGTACAATTTAAAAAAAATACCCTTTAATGCAATTAGATTAATGTCCTACAAAAGAATTCAGTATAAATCGCTATAGAATTGTTTAATTACACAGTATTGTAGTAATTTGAAACTTAAACATACTATACTTATGTTCCAAATTTCTATATGGACACATTTAAAATAAATGAATACAGACGAATTATGTCTTCAATTAACTACAATTATTTATAATTATATTAATTTCATGTATATGAATGGGTAGTTTCTTATGAAATTTGTAATTTAAAAATAAAAGTTTTTAAATTAAAGTCTTTTGTTTTTAGTTTTTACCTAATTAATTGTAATTATGTATATATATAAATTGTAAAAGAAAATGTTCTTTTTTTTTGTTTTTTTTTTTATGAGGAATTCGGATATGAGACAACTAAAGATGTAATTCTTTTATATTTTTACCTTCCCAAAGTATCATTTTCAGTTACAGTACATTTTTGTTCAAAACAATCAGTCATTATAGTTGATTAATTTGATTTTAGCCCAAGAATAAAATTAAATTCCAAGAAAAAATCTGTAATTAAAAACAAAAATATTATTTTATTTTTGAATAAAATTAACAATCCTATTTTAAATTTAATTAACATAGTTAGTTTTTTATTGAATGGTTATTAATTTTAAAATTGAAATATCTAAAATGCATTTTCAAAGTCCAAATTCAAATTATGCATTGGCAACATTTGATATTTCTTCTGCTACCGGTTCAGATACCCACATAAATTATTGTTTTAATATTGTATTGCATTCATAATTTAATTATTTTTTTGGAAATTACTTTAAAATAGATGAATAAATTATTTTGATTTCATATAAAGGAGTATATTATTTTCACGTTTGTAGCTAATTTTTTTAAAAATATTAAAACCTAAACTGGTGATGAAGCATTAAATAGCTTATTTCGTATATTGTTTACTTAAAAGAAAATCAAATCTAATTAAAGAATTATTTTTTTCCTGTGCATCATTTCCAAAAATCAATTATTCAATATTTTGCATTATTCAATTTTTATACTATTCAAGAGAATATTTAATTTTACACTAATTATTTAAAATTTTTCAAAAACATTAACTATATAAAATTATTTAAAATATAATTAAATTCTTTTTCCCAAACTTAATTCTAAATATGAAGAATTTTTATCTCAATATTTATAGGAAAATCTATTAAATTCAAAAAAAAACTATTTTTAGCTTCTCATACATATAGTTTGCCCTATTTAGTTTATCTATTGTATTGAGTATTAGCATAGTAAGATATAGAACGCATATGATATGTATATGTAAATATGTATATGCATTGTACGCATTTTTTTAAAAAAAATATATTATTAGATTTGACTTTATAATAAAAATCCTATATAAAGAAAAATGTACAACAAATTAATATTAAAGCAATTTTAATGATTAAAGTGTCGGACAAAAATTTTCAAGTCTGAATATTCAAGTTTATTTCGTTATTTTTAAATATAGTATGCTAAACTGTAAATATATGTATACAGATTTCACATCATTTTTTAATCAGTATTCTGTATTATACGATTATATCCAAATTGAATCTGGCTCTTGGTCTATAAAATTGTATGAATACTTTTCTTATTAAGTTATTCTTGTGAGGGAGAGAGGGGGGATCCGGCAGCATCACAACGTTATACCAAACCTAAGTTATTCTTAATTGAAATTGAAAACGAATACTGCCCCAGTAAATATTTAAGTTTAGATTCATTTTCTTTTCTGCTACAAGCATAAATTTGTCTTACTTCATATATGGTATTGCTTCTCATGCAGCAGAATGAGAATTTTAATTTACTTTCTACAGTTTAAATAGCATGCAACCGCCTCAACTTCAATTTTGCTTAATAAAACTAACTGTATATTAGCGCATAATATACAAATTGAAACCGGATCTTTAAATTTATATTTCTAAAATTATTTCAGTGAAATTTCAGTTTAAAGTTAAAATTATTTAGAAACTGATGATTTGTGATCCTTAAATATTCCAAATTCAAGTAAAATTGTTTGATTTTTACTAAAGTTTTCATATCATTTTCTATAGTGCTTTTTTTTTAAATTCACATTAAATAAAATATTCCATTATTTTGATAGAATTCAGTGCTCAATATACTTATATAACTAAATAATCCTCAGACAAAAATGACGTAGGTATGTCACATGTTAAAAAAACACATCACCGATTTTAACTTATCATTATCGGTTGATTCTATGCACTTCAAATACAATATTTAAAATCCAAAATATTAAATAATTAATAAAAATTTTTTAATGTTATTTTACGATCAAAAGTTCTTCAATAGCAATTCAAATACAATAAAAATACAATAATAAATTCACCTTTTTTTTATAATTTAATAAAATTATTCTATTAAAGATTTTCACTTAAATGTGATCCCTTCCAAGTTTCCTTATAGACTAAATTTGAAACTCAACTGAACATCTAAAATATACTAAAAAATTATATATACGCACTTAATGTGCCTTATATTCCTTAGTGCTATTGAAGAAAAAAAATGAGCAGACCACAAGCCAAATTATTCATTTTTAATTGAATTTTCACATATTTTTTTTTTTTTCAAATTACACCAAATACAAATTTTTTTAGTTGTACTTCTCATTTTCTAATATACACACTTTTATTCTCTGGTCAATGTTCCCTTTTCGGAAAATACGTGTATAAGAACATTATCACAGTCTATATATTTTTCTAAAAATAATAGCAAAAATAAATAATTTTAACAATAAAAATACTTAAAAAAGTATAATAAAAAAAAAAAGCAAAATGTTAAAACTTTCATCAGTCATAAGAGTTGCAAGTCTTATTATATAAAAATACAGTACTCATACATAATAATTATATACATACATATTAATTATATATATACATAATTATACATTGAAAATTTTATATAGAAACCATATTTATAACATTTATGTCATTCACCATAAAATATATACGGTATATCTTACATTAAACTGTAAATTTGTAAACCTGTTCTGGCATGAAAACAAATTCTATCAACATATCAATCTAGGAAGTTGGCAGGTTGGCAGAATACCATCCCAATTTGAATATTGTATACATTGCTTTACTCACGTATACCTAAAACATATTTTATTAACATTATGTATGAATGTATATGTATAAAACATTAGCGTTTTTTCACCTCTTCCAATTTCGCCTGATGCGCGCTGATTTTCTTAATTTATTTTTATTTTCTAATTTTTGTTTTTTTTTTTGTGAAAAACTATCGTTTGCGATGAGATGCATCCAAAAAAATTCTAATTAATATAATGTTTATACGTATCCTACGTAATGTATGTATGTGAATATTCACATTGCATATTTTTTTTAAAAAATATACATATGTATGAGCAATCTCGAAAAATTGTTAAATACGTAAATTTATGTATTGATAAGGACGTGAAATTAATATTAATGGTTTGAAGGTGCAGTAATTGTAAACTTGAAACATAAGGACGTGAAATTAATATTAATGGTTTGAAGGTGCAGTAATTGTAAACTTGACCATTTTCATCGGATTTATACTTACAGATTTAAAAAAAAAACTCCTTTAAGAAGTTATTAAAATTGTTAGAAATTGTTGACAATTGTCTAAGCATGTTAAATATTTTCAAAATTAAATTTTTAATTCCATAAAATTCGAAATAACAATTATAATTCGAGAATTTGTCTAATTTTCATAAGAAACCATTAATATAAAAAATTCCTTAAATATTTAAAATTGATTTTCTTATAAGAAATTTTCACATACGTATAGTCTAGCCCTAGATAGTCTAGCCTTCTTTACAAATATTTAAAATCAAAATCTCCTTTTCGTGTTTCAGGCAATATTTAAGTTTATAATTTTCCTAAAAAATTGGATTATCCGCAAAATTTGAAAACACTAATTTTTCCATTTAGTTGCTCTCTTTTTTTTTCATACTATTTTTAGAATTTTTAGAATCTAGTATTTAATTTCTTTCATAGGAATTATTAAAAAAGTTTCAGAATTTTCTTAAAATTTCCAAAAAAGCAAAAAAAAAAAAAAGAAAGAAAATATTTTAACATAAAAATTGATTTTTACGAATCTATTTTAAAAGAGAATACTAAAAAAATTTTAAATTGCATTACAACAATTTTTATGCTTGTATGTAATTCATATCCAATCTTTATTATATACGTACTTATGTATAAATAAATTTATGTAAAACTCTTTCGTGCGCTGTACATACGCACTTTATTAAAAAATTATCAAATATATGAAGCGCATAAAATTTTACAATAAAAGTTATTAAATAATCAAAAATTTTCAAAGACTCGCTCATACAGCAATCTCGTTCCGAATGCTATGTTTCAGTTCTGAAATTATTCGAACTCCTACTAGACTTCTTTATGTGTGTGTTTTTTTTTTAAAATTAAAGTTTATATAAGTCGTCAACAATTCCAAAGTTATAGAAATTTATTTTCTGGGTGAAATTTCAATATCTGGGTGCGATTTTGAGGGCCCTTATATAATATATACATATGTATACATATAAGCACACCAATAAAGTATATTTTTCGAATTGAAAGAAATTCTCTTTATTCAATAATTCAATTTATCAATTTAAAATTCAATATTTGATTTTTTGGCCCTTTTTATGGTCAATTTTATTAATTTTGGTGCATTCCTGATTTTTGTTACTGCGGAAAGTTTCGGAATTTTATCGAGAAAATTTTTTTCATTTCAAATCTTCTAACAAAGACTGTTTTTATTTTGGTAATTTTCAATCGAGTTTTGAATCCAAATAAAATATTAACATGAATAATTATAAAAATTACTTTAACATGAATTTTAAAATACATACATACATATAAATATAAATTTGAAAATTATTAATAATAAATTAAATCTCATTAATTAATTATGAATCTTTACACATATAAATATATATATATACATATATATGTATTTGTAGGAAATAATATTAAATTATTTCTTTTAAAAAACTTTTTCCACAATTACTCATAGTACTGAATATGGGTTTCACCTCTCACAGAAATTCATGAAGTAATAAAAAACCAACCTGATTCAATTAAAATATTTATGTAGATTTTTAGTCAATACCCCAAAACAATTATACTCGTATTATATTACTGAATTAAAGTAAAAGCTTAAAACTATAGGTTTCTGTCATTGTACAACAATTTTAATATTGCAAAAATGAACAGAAATTTTTTTTTTGAAAATATATTCAAATTGGCATAAAATTTCAAACGATTGACCCCTTTTTATACATATACAATGTGTTTTCTTAAGACTATTAAAGAAATTTCGAATATTTAGATATACATATACATATGTACATAAAGTAAGTAATAATTCAAAAAATTAATCAATTTCCAATTTCCTAAATGATCCATCAACTCCAAAATATGAATTAAAATCAATTGGTGTTCCAATTCTTAAATTTTCATTTGACCCATAATTGTCTTCCTCAATAAAATAATCACGATATTCATTAAATTTTCTCTCCCAATATTCGATAATATCTGGAATTGTACCATTATTTCCACCATACTCAACTGGTAAATATTCTTTAGGAATTTTTTCATATAGTGATTCCATATTCCTTTCACTATGAACGCATATCTTAAAAAAAATATAATTTAAAATAATATCCATTATAATTTTCAAAAATTATGCAAACACAATTTTATATACATATAACTTACACGACTTCTAGTTTTTTCACTTTGAAAATTCTTAACAATATTAAATATTTTAAAGAAACTACTAGTTAAATTAACAAAATGAAAACCTTTACGTCGTAAAGGCATTGCATTCTCACTGTATACAGATATCTTTTTCATTATATTTAAATCCATATTAAGAATATGTTTTGATGAAATATCAATAAAATCTAAAATTTCAATGCATCCAGCCACAATATAATTATCATTTTCCAATAAAAGTATTTCATTTATTATTGTTTGAACTTTAACAGTATCTACAAAACTATATTTATCTGGATCACATTTACCAAAACGTGATATACGTATTAATGGTCCATCATCACCTATAGTTTTTGGTAATGGTAGAATTGCACTAAAATTATATACAAGAAAAATTAAATAATAATTACTTGCACAAACTAACAAACATCCGTTATCGTAAATATTTTAATGGTATATACACATATAATTCATAATATTTATTTACCTTGTTCTTAAAATTTCTAAAATTTTTTGATCATCAGTTCTACGACATTGCAATACATTTTGTATACCGGATCTTAAACTATAAAATTTATCTATTTTTTCTTTAGCACGTTCTAAACTATATTTGCAGCCACGTAAAAATGCTATTAAAAATTGATCTGAAGTTCTTGCTTTAAGATGTGGTTGCTTTTCAATCCAATCTTTTAGAACCTGAAGATCTTCTTGAATTCTTGATGGTACTTCACCTAATTCTTCAGATGCTTTTTTAGCTAAAGCCGGAGGAAGAGATCTTATATTTGCCATTTCATATATTCAACTTATAATTTTAAAAAATATTAACTAAAATACTGAAATTTTCAAATATAAAAGTTTACTTTTATTAAATTGAACTGAAAATATAACACTTTCTAACCAATATCTCTTATCTTTATATTATAAATTATAAGATTAATTAAATTATCGTAAAATTCATTATCTTAAACTCTTATGTATATGTATACATAAATTATATTTAATCTATTTATGAATATTTAAAATATTTCGAAAATATATGTGTATAAAGAAGTTTATATGTTAGCATGTTACCAAAAACACATGAATATTTCCAAAAAAATTTCTTAAGAATTTTAATTTATTTATAATTATTTAAGAATTAAATTTATTTTGAAACCGGAAACTAAAGTGCCTAATTATGTATATATTATCTTCTAATATATAGTTCTAATATAGATCCGGATGCTAAAGCTAGATTCTTCCAAAAAATCTACTGATCCGTTCTCTAGAAATTTGGTGCGTTAATTATTTTATTGTTATTAATTGTTATGAGAACTCAATTTTATTCCAAAAATTAATTAATTAATTAAACCACTATAAAAATTTGGACACTAATTTTAATGTTAATCAGTTCAAGCGAAACTGTAACATAAAATTCTGAGTTATTTGAAAATGAAATTCAAAGTTTATTCATTTATCTGTCGAAAAAAGTTAGGTAAACTTCTCATAATTATTGTATTCATAATTATTAATAATAAATTTAATAAATTAATGTAAAATTTTATTCGCATTTTACATTTTTTACATTTTTTATTTTTAATCAATCTCTAATTTCCTAAATGATCCATCAATCCCGAAATATGAATCAAAATCAATTGGTTTACCAATTCTTAATTTTTCATTTGATCCATAATTCTCTTCCTCATTAAAATAATCACGATACTCAATAAATTTTCTCTCCCAATAATCGATAATATCTGGAATTGTACCATTTTCGCCACCATATTCAACAGGTAAATATTTTTTTGGAATATTTTCATATAACGATTCAATGTTGTTCTCACTATAAAGAAACATCTGAAATGTATGAAAAAAGTATAAAATACATCACTATTTTTTATACAAAAAAAAAAAGAAAAACAAATTGAATCAAAGGATACGAAACTTACACGATTTCTAATTTTTTCACTTTGAAAGTTTTTTAACATTTCATACAACTGGAAGAACCAATTTGGTAAATTAATAAAATAAATACCTTTTTGTCGTACTGGTACCGCTTTTTCACCATAAACTGAAATTTTTTTCGCTATATTCAAATCAAAACTTAAAAAATGTTTTTTAGAAACATTCGCAGCATCCAATATTTCAATTGTACCGGCAACAATTAAATTATCATCATCAAGTAATTAAATTTCATTGATAATAGTTTGAAAACTAATAAGCTCTTCAAAACTATATTCATTTGGATCACATACTCCAAAACGTGTTAATCTTATTCTTGGGCCATCTTCTTGTATGGTATTGGGTAATGGTAATGTCGATCTAAATTTTATTAGAAAAATTATGATATAAAAAAACGTAGAGATAAAAATTAAATAGTCTTTTATTTTGTTGCAAAGTTTGCAATTTTTCAATTGGAAATTAAAATTTAAGAGTCTTATTAGTGCAGTTCAGTTCCACTGATTCAAACTAATTGATAAAACACAAACTGATTGATAAATGGTTGACACTTCATTTCATACCATTTTCCTCATGAATATAACAGAAAAACTTCTTAAAACAAGAGGACTACGTGAAATGAAGTATAAAATTTTGAACCCGTTAAACAATATAAAAAACTGCATGTCCCTTTTACCATTTGCTACAGTTAGAGCATTTAAAGTATTGGCTTCTCACTTATTACAGTTATATTTTTGTTATATTACAATACATACAATATTATTTTGTATATAAAATATATATTTTACCCTGCTCTTAAAAGTTCTAAAATTTTTTGATTATCGGTTTTACGGTTACGAAAAATTTCTCGAAGACCAGCTCTTAAACTATAAAATTTATCTATTTTTTCTTTAGCACGTTCTAAACTATATTGGCAGCCACGCAGAAATGCTATTAAAAATTGATCTGAAGTTCTTGCTTTAAGATGTGGTTGCTTCTAAATCCAACTTTTTAGAGCTTGAAGATCATCTTGAATTCTTGATGGTACTTCATCTAATTCTTCAGCTGCTTTTTTAGCTAAAGCTGACGGAAGTTGTCTTAATTCAATCATTCTTTAGAAGAAAAATAAATAATTGTTTTCAAACCAATTTACCCACGCTAACTGAAGTTTAATAAAAAATCTGTCCAATATTGGCTTTAATGTTATTATCAATATTGTTCTGAATGCTCAAGTAAAATGATAAAGATAAAAGCCATTTAATTACTTGATATTGTAATCTCCATCTTATCATAACCGTTATTATCTTTAAATTACACTTTACATAACTAATAACTGTTAAATGCAATTTCAAATTGAATTGCATGTAATAAAGCCTAAGTATACTTAGAATGTTAAAATTATTACAAACTTTGGAATTATTAAAAGAACGATAAAAAATTAAGTTCACTATTTGAACTCTATGATACCTGTACAAATGTTTTTTAACAGTTAAAATAGCACCCAGAAAGTTCATATAATAGGTGTTAACGAATTTTTTTAGAATGGTATAACATTGTTACAACAATATAACGTAGGTTTCTGCAAATTTTCATGACAAAACTATTTTTTAAGTTTTCTCAGGACTCACACTAACACAACTATTCCTTTTTTCTGTTTCGGAACAATGAAAATAGAAATGTGCTTCAAAGTTTCCTGGATATGTATAAATTATTTTTATTTGGAATAGCATGGCAGCAGTACTTTAACTTGTATCTCGATCGAATAAAAATTATCAGGGTTATACCTTTTAAGCAATTTTGAAAATTTAGTTAACCTAAAACTTAAGGGCTATTTAGAGTTACCGCTTCGATAAACGGACAGCCAGATGGTAAACTTTCGAAAAAAATATTCTAAACTATTTAAGAATCAAAACTTTTTTATTTTGCGTTTAATAAAAAGATTGGTCCATAAAATTATCGAATAATTTTCTGGTGCAAAAGAGAAGTGGCGAAATTTATTATATGCAAATGTGTGTGATGCTAATGCGCTGCAAACTGCACTGCAAAATGTTCTAATATGTTTTTATAGTTCTGACGTTCTAATATTCTTAATAATTGCTTCATTCAGTGATATTTTGCATACAAAATAGTTTTCAGTGACTTTTATTATTTAAAAAGTAATTTTTATACTTTTGCTCTATTTATTACAAGTTTTTACTTTAGATTTTGCAATAATGAACTTAAAATTATTTGAAATGAACTTTTGGATGGTACTAAGAAATTTTTAGCTTCTAGTTTCCTTCTAGCTAACGAAATTGCATATTTTTCATACTTTGGGACTAAATACAAATTCAAAGAGTTGAATTGATAGTGTTTCTCATCTTTATAATTATCTCAATCCCATGTGAACAATACATCATTGTACTCATTATATATTTTTTTACTACTTAATATTTATTTTACTATTTCCAAAATTATGGTTAATCAATTTCCAATTTCCTAAATGATCCATCGATTCCAAAATATGAATTAAAATCAATTGGTGTTCCAATTCTTAATTTTTCATTTGACCCATAATTGTCTTCCTCAATAAAATAATCACGATACTCAATAATTTTTTTCTCCCAATAATCTATAATATCTGAAATTGTACCATTATTTCCACCGTATTCAACTGGCAAATAATCTTGTGAAATATGCTCGTATAAAGATTCCATATTTCTCTCATTATGAACAAATATCTAAAAAAAGAAGCATTGTGACAATACTAAAAAATTTTCATACTTAATTTAAATGGAAAATCTTTCGTACCCGTCTTTTGATTTTTTCACTCTGGAAAGCTTTTATAATATTGAAAACTTTAAAGAATCCATTTGGCAAATTGATAAAGTGAACACCTTTTTGTCTAACTGGCATTGCTTTATCACTATAAACAGAAACTTTTTTCATTACATTTAAATCCAAATGAAGTAAATGTTTTTTAGTAACATTAGCCAAATCTAAAATTTCAATGCATCCAGCTACAACAAAATTATCATCTTCCAACATTTCTATTTCTGTTATAATAGTTTGTACTTTTACAATTTCTGCAAAAGTATATTTGTCAGGATCATATTGGCCAGAGCGGGTTAAACGTATTCTTGGACCATCTTCGCCTATAGTTTTCGGCAATGGAAAAGCTACACTGGAAAAACAATTTTAAACAATATTACAATAAAAATTTGAATCATAATTATTATAGTACAACAATAATCGCAAGAAATCAAGAGTCGGAAAAAAATATTGATTTGCCGTTAAATCACTTTTAAATTTTGTAATTTATGGGTATTTTTGGGTGCTTTGCCAGCTTATTTGTCAATTATATCAAAAATTCGCAAAACTTTTCGATTCGTAATTGGATTTTATTTGTAATCGTAAATTCATAACTTGAATTAATTTTCTGAAGAAACATTTATTCACATCCGTCTGTAGATGAACTTAGCATTTACTCCGTTTATTTAAGAGATAAGAACTATAGGAATAGTTGCAATATAAAAAATTATTTTAATAAAAATATCACTTACGTTGTTCTTAAAATTTCTAAACATTTTGGATCGTCGGTTACTCGATTACGAAATATATCCTGTATGCCAGCCCTTAAACTGTAAAATTTATCTAATTTTTCTTTAGTACGTTCTAAACTATATTTGCAGCCACGCAAAAATGCTATTAAAAATTGATCTGAAGTTCTCGCTTTAAGATGTGGTTGCTTTTCGATCCAATCTTTTAGAGCTTGCAAATCTTCTTGAATTCTTGATGGTACTTCACCTAATTCTTCAGCTGCCTTTTTAGCTAAAGCCGGAGGAAGAGATCTTATATTTGCCATCTTATATTTCTTTGCTTTTCAAATATTTTCTAGAACTTCTTTTACTAAAATCAAACTTTATACTAATATTAACACTTAATATTCATGTTAGCAATTTCCTAATCAATTATCTACAATTTATGAAATCGGGCATAAAGATATAAATATATATATGTATGATTTGATAATTATAATCAAAATATAATTTGATAATTTTGTATGATATGTGATCGTATATCATGTAAAGTGTTAAGTGTATATAAAAAATATTAAGGGTTACGTTTTTGACAATTTTGTTAATGAATTTTTGAATATTTGTTAATCATTTTTATTCTATAAACAAAATTGCAAATGAAGCAATCATATGTACTTAAGCAATACTAATCTTAAATACTAGAAAAAGGTTGCAAAAATTATCTGGACATGTTGCATGAATTAAACTTTAAGTTAGACTCTCTGCTTCATGGTGTTTGAGTCACATTAAAAATACATGATTTTATTTTGCAGTATGTCAATTTCTTTTAATTTAATATACGTGTTAAAAACAAAGTTATACTCGTAGTTAAACCTTCTATTTAATGAGTTTTTCTAATTTTGCGAAAAAAAATGGGAATTTAACAGAATCGTTCTATCTCCAAAGTCAGGAAATTTTACTTCTACCTGCCAGTAATATAGAAACATTTACTGACCTTCTACAAAAAAGCTTACTAATTGCAAACGATCCATTCATTTCTTTTAAATAAATAAAAAAAATTTCTTTAAGTACAAAGTTCTAAATTGTATTCAATTGCCTACAATATAAAAAAAACGTCAATATAGTTGAAAATAAAATTTTAATGTTTAGCTTAATTAATACATTAATAGCCATTCAGCTATTTGTACTACAGCGCAATATAATTGTGGCAGTACTAATATTTCTGACCTGTAAGTATTAATACCATATTGCAGTATAACAACAATTTATGAGTCGTAATTTCTGAATTTGCAATCTGTTTATCAGTGCAGTGTTATTATATTTTTGAAGTCAAGGTTATTCCTAATTTCGTTCAAGCTTCGGTGTTATATAAATTTGACTATTTTAGGAGTTTATGTATTATTTTGGTTCAAGTACCAAAATGAATTATTTTTAAATTATTTGGGAAAGTTAGATTGTGCAGACCTCAACTGCATATTTTAATCATATCAATTCATTAAGAAAATTCGTATAAAATTACAACTTAATATTGTTAGCAATACAATTTTAGTAGCTGAATGGAATAGACTGATGATTAGGTTTAATTTCGCGAGACGGCCATGAGCCATTGCCATATTCTATAATTTTGACTAATTATAAGTCAAAAAAAAAAGTTTTTCTTGATTTTTACATTCATATCAAATTTTTCGATTATATTTTATAGATTATCTTTATCAAGCTTTACTTACATACATATATGTATGTATATATTACTAATAAATAAGAATTTATTTAATTTATTTATGAAAGATAATTGAATTATATAAGAAAATCAATTTCTTAATTTTATCTAATCCAATATTCATTTGGTTTTTAATCTTTGGCAATCAATTTTTTTTATTATTATTATTTTTAAAGATAGTTGTATTTGCTTTTTTGATCCAAAATCAATAATTATAATAACATATATATATATTTTATATTTATCTACGTTTACTACTGTAATACTAATTTAATTAAAATAAGCTCTTATATATTAAGTATGTATAATAAATTTTCATTGTTTTCTGTAATTTTCTTTTATAAAGTTAAAAAAAGTCGAATTCAGTTGATTTTTAGTTAAGCATCTATTATGTCATCTTTACGAGAATTATCACCAGTATTAATTAAAATAGCTAAAGAAGAATTAAATGAAGTGCCAAATCGTTTAAAAGATGATATTAAAAATTTAAAAATTTGGGCTGAAAAACAAAAAAATTTTAAATCAAGAATATCAGATCAATTTTTAGTGGCATTTTTACGTGGTTGTAAACATAGTTTGGAGAGATCAAAAGAAAAATTAGAAAGATATTATTTATTAAAAGCAAATTTAGAAGAACTCTATACAAATCGACGATCCGATGATCCGATTCTTTTAAATATTTTAAAGCAAGGGTAAGAAATTAATAAAAAAATAAAAATGAAAGTATCTACGTCTTTTTTATACTAATCTTTTTTTTTTCTTATTATTAAAAAGGATCGTTCTACCATTAATAAAACCACATGGTGAAGGTGGTCCAATTGTACATATAATTAGACCAGGAAGTTATGATCCAAATAAAATAAAATTTTCTGATATTATAAAAGTTGGAACAATTATTGCTGATATATATTTAATTGAAAATGATAATGCTGTTGTATCGGGTCTAATTGAAGTTTTAGATTTAGGAAATGTTTCAGCACAACATTTATTTCATATTGATGTTGCATTTGTGAAAAAATTTGCAACATATTATGAAAATGGTATGCCAATAAGACAAAAAGGATTTTATTTTATAAATACACCAACTGGCTTTGAAACTTTATATAATATTTTTAAACCTTTAATAAGTTCTAAAAATAAAGATCGTGTAAGTATATCTATATATGTATATTCTACAGAAGTAATTATATTTTATTGTATAATTATAAACTGTTTTTTTTTTTTGCTTGTAGGTTGTTATAGCACAAGGTTCTAAAGAAATTGCATTACATCCATATATTTTAAAAGATATTTTACCGGAAGAATATGGTGGAAATGGTGGATCAGCAGAAGATATAAATAATTATTGGATAACAAAATTTCTAGAATATAAAGATTATTTTATTGAAGAAGATTGTTATGTTATGGAAGAAAAATTTAAAAATAGTACATTTGAATCATGCAAAATGACTAATTTCGGAATTGATGGATCATTTCGTAAAATTGAATTTGATTAATTAAAAACTAATGATTCTATATTAAATCTAGAACTTATTTAATTATTAAATATAAATATTATTTTGTTGATGCTCATATTATGAGCGTTAACTACTTATTAAATAGTTTTATATCTAAATTATAATTTATTAATTGAGAATTCTTAATTTTTTAATACTCATCAATGCTTTATTAATAATTAATTAAATATATCATCAAAATTAAAATGTAAAATTATATATGTACATATGTAGCTAAAATACATATGTACATATATAATTTTTATGGGTTCTATCAAGTATCTAACAAATTTTGCATAATACTATTTAAATATTTAAATAATTTTCTATTTTTCAAAATAAAATAAGTGCACTGACGTAATATTATTGCAATATTTAATTTTTAATACATTAATTTTCACATAATAATTTTATACATGTACGAATATGTATGTCAATAATTAAAGTATTACTAAATTATTAAAAGTTGCCAAAAAGAAAGTTTCGTCATTTCCAAAAATTGTCATTATATAAATATGATATATGAATAGTTCACAAATTGTAAATGACAAATTAATTAATTGAAATTAATTAATTAAAAAATTATGTTGAAATTAGTAAATTAAAATTTGTTCATAAACAATCTGCTAATGCCTGTCTGTATGTAAGAATTATCTTGAATATCAAATAAATTTACATATGTCGCTACGTTATATTATTAAAAAATTGTTATATATACACATATATACGTATAACAATTTTAATAATTCTTTGAGAAAAGTCCTTGGACCTATACGGTTTTTCATTATATTTCAGGTGTTATTTGAACAAGAAAAGAAAAAATATCAAAAATTATTTAAGAATATATGTATATATAATTAAATAAATACTTTATTTGAATAATTTACAATTAAAGAAAATTTACAAAATTAACGAAAATAAATTCATTTTTATATTTTTTTTGTTTTAATTGAAATTATTGATTATTTTAATTTTTCAAATTTTTTAAATTTTCCACAGTTTTTTGTTTATCTTTTGGCATTCTGGTACCATTATTACCACCACCATCAACATTAACATCAATATTAGATTTTGTTAAAATATTTAATTGTGTAATTTTTGTACTTTTACTTCTATCAATTGGAATATTTTGTTCACATTTTTCCGATATATTTGGTAAAACTTCAACAATTTTATTAGTAACTTTATTTATTTGTTTAGTACCAGTTTTACAGGGTGAACGTACAGGCTGAATTTTCTTTTTCTACAATTATACAAAATAGATTACATTATTAATATTATAAATAAATATTAAATTGCAATTGCTTGGGAATTTTCGATAATTCAAATATGTAATTAAAATTCTAATTTAAATCTTAAAATTATTTTTTTTTTCCGCATAATTACATAACATATCTACAGGAGCTAATTATATTTAAATTTTTCAGATTTGTATAACATTTATGTACCTTAAATTTTTTTAACAATTATAAAAATTTTTAAAAATATGCTGTAGAAAGCTTTAACTATATTACGCATTTCGAACGTTCTTCTTTATTATATTAGAGAATTATCGAAAATGCTTTATATATTAAAATCCAAATTAGAATTGAATTTTTTGAAAATCCCCTATACTTACTTCGTTCGTATTAATTTTAGGTTTACAACAAAATGAAAATATTGGTGTTTGATTGTATGCTCGTCGAAAATTATCATTATTCATTCCGTATATAATGGGATTAATTGCAGCATTCAAAAATATTAAATAATGTGATGAATACCATAATATTTGAAAACCATATGATATTTCATTTGACCAATTTTGTAATTGCATTTCATATCGGAAAAATACAAGTACAGTAAATGGTACACGTAATAAAACAAATGTAATTACAATAGTAAATAATGTTTTAGCCACTTTTTTTTTATATGAAACACATAATGGATGTTCTTTTTTAAGTACTTGTTTCTCATAATGATCCAACTGAAAATACAATAATAAAAAAAAAATTAAGTTGTTTTTCGAAAAACTGTTCTAGCAATATTTGATAACCGAAGTAATATACTCGTAACAATAGTAATCTTTCGTGCAAAAGCTCTTGAAACAAAATAATATGGCAATTTTACAATTTTAGTTATAAATATATTTCACAAAATAGCAAATAACAACAACCATAAAATTAACAAATTAATTTAATTTGAAAATATTAATTAAATGTAAGGCGACTCCGAATGAATAAATGCAATTTCGCCTCACAAAATTTATAACATAACTTTTACATACATATTCACACATTTATTTTGGACTAGCATATAAAGTTAATGTCTAAATTAAAATAAAATCAATTCATGTATCAAACTTCATGAAAGAAAACAAAAATATTTATCATATTAATTTATTTTACCTTATGAAAAATGGCCGAATATGAAACAATCATAACAAACAATGGAAACCAAACCAAAGCTGCAATTAATACATGCCAATATTTTGGCAAAATTGTTGTATTTTCCTTACAATAAGTTTCCACAAAATTTTTGAATTGTCGTTTCTGAAAACAAATAAAATTAATTATACATTTAATAATTTTATATATATTTTAAATATACATATTTTTTTTTTTAATTTCACTTACCACATATATTCTATATATAGCTAATGGCATTGCTAATAAAATTCCAGCTAACCATGTACATACCATTACTATTTTTGTACCTTTTATTGTTAATCTTGATTCCATTGGTAAAACAATAGCTGTTAAACGATCATAACTAACTGCACATAAATTTAATACAGCTGTAATTAATAAAACACCTTCTAAAAAACCTTCTAATTTACAACCGATTGCACCCATTTGATAATTTTGATAAAAATCATGAAACATAAACATTATTGGACATATTAATATTATTGCAGTATCAGCAGCTGCCATATTAGCTATTAATAAATTTGTTGGTGTTTTAAGTGCACGATTTCTTATTATTATATTTAATAATGTTATATTCCCAAATGATCCAAGTATTATAATTGGAATAAATGTAACAACTTTAACCGATATTTCCCATGTTGGTAATCTTATCCACATTTTATTTTGTGGAAATTCTGTATCACTAAAATCATACTATTATGAAAAATAAATTAATTAGTTTTTATTTATAATTATATATTTAATGTTATATTTAATGTTGTAACAATAGGCTTTCTATGTATTATTTATAGTTTGTAGTAAATGTTTTCAATCTGTTTACATCTGTAAACTTAAATTACTTTCCACTTACCAAATTTTATGTCATAAAATATAAAACTTTGTGATGTATAAATAATAATAATACTCATTCATTATTCAGTATCTAATCAGTAAAACATATTTTATTTTATTTTATTCTAATTTTTTTTTACTCCTAGAAGCTAGGGCTTCTGCATGATGTTATAGAACCATGCCTAAATATCGTAAGTTGTTGAATTTTACATATGCTATTAATTAATACACAATTATTGCAAAATTAATAATCGGCAATTTAGTATTTCAAATATTTTAATAAAGAAATATAAAAATAATTGAATAAATTTAATTTTAATAACCTTGTACTTTATAGGATTTATAACAGGATAACCCTTAATAAATTATCTTAATTGATTATTTATTCCATTAAAATTTTATATTGATAATAATTTTTTATGCTTGAATATCATTTTGATCTAATAGTACAGATAACAATTTCATATACCTCAAGTTCGTATTTTACCTTAAAAATCTATGTGATATTTCAAATGATTAATTTCAGCTTTAGTTCTGAAAATGAAAATTTCCAAGTTGTTGACTTTTATCAAAACTGTATGTAGGTATAAATCCGAAATCAATATGAATCGAATCAATATTATGAATATGTAGATAAAACTACAATAAATGCATAAACAAATTTGAAATGCCTTGTAGCGGTTATAATTGTTTTGTATACAGGTCATTATAAAAATACATAAAGATAAAAACATGAAATTTATCGCAAAAAAAAAAACGCAAAAGGATCAATTAAATTCATATACGTTAGTATATTTAGTACAATTTTCCGACGTGACGTCACTTATTTTTTTGGTTGGACCGCAAAATTACAAAAAAAAAAATTATAAAAAAGCAATAAATATTGCTCAATATAGGTTACACACCACTTCAGATTGAAAATATTTTTTCGGCAATGAAAGCAATTAAGATCAAAAAACCCTATATTAAAATTACAATAACAATAATTAATTTTATTTTTTACGCGTGATTCACAGATGTTGAAATTATGGAATAGGACACATAATCTAATTTACATAAAAAAAATTTGGTTATAATTTATAAAAAAATGTATTTTAACAACAATTTTACTGGTAATTTCATTTTAAGAACTGGGAGTGTCTTTATTCTATTTTAATTAGCATTTTCGAATATAATTATGTTCGCTGACATTAATTTTTGTACAAATTTTAAATATATATATATAAAATATAATAACCAAATAACAGTATAACCAAATAGTCTTAAACTTTAATAAATTCGACGGCAATATCAATAAGTTGTGACGTACTAATTATATTTTAAATAATAAAGAAGTTTATTTTTACGACCAACTATTTTATTTTTGAAAATAAAGTGTACTATTTTAGTTTTTTTTTATATCACCTAAATTTCGTATTCGATCTTCTTCCAAAATTGAAAATACGAGTATTTAATAAAATAATTTTTTAATTTTTTCATCCAATTTTTAAAATTTAATTGGCCGAATCATTTCAATAATAATTTTAGTTTTCATAATAATTTCAATAATAAATTTAAAAATTTATTTATTTAATTCATATCTTACCATTAGATTAGTTCCATTTAAATAATCCGTATGCAAATTATTATTTGTATCTAAATGATCGGTTTTCAAAAATTCATTTAAATTCATACGTAAAAATCCTTAAAAAATAAATTCTTTTTAAATTTGTAATTATAATTTCTGAAAAACAAAATATAATTAGTGTTGTTTAATATTAATTAAAAGAATTCAAAAATATTCTCAATTTAACGGAGCTAAAAAAAAGGTATACAAAGTTTCGAAAGCAAGCAAATTACGACTAACAACTTTGTACGTGTATACGCGATCATAAAGGATTACTAATTCAATTATTAATATCGGATAAAATAAAATATTGAAGGAAAAATTATTTAATGTTCTTAATAATCATATTTTATCAAAATAAAAAAAAAAATGAAAGAAAATGATTGATGTCTTATCTATAATAGCATTTTCCACTTATAAAATTTATTTTATAATATTTTTCATTTTGATAATAAAAAAAAAATTCGAATAATATAAAAGTTTATAATAACAAAAAAGCTTAAACAAAAAAAGGATATGAGACAAAGATAAAAATTTTATTTCGCAAAAGAAAAATAAAATGCGAAATTAATAGACATTTTCATAAAGGCAATATTGGAGGACAATTACTCCAAAACACAATACTGCCAAAACGTAACATGGTGAATATGCAATATATTTTTAATTATTCTGTAAAATTAAAGCAGTTCATATGATTTAACTACGTTACTCATACTAATTTTGCTATATTGCTAAAAATTAGTCATGTTTATGAACAAATTAGATTTGCAGTATACATCGTGATTTTCGCTATATGTATATCGTGATTTACCGTGTTTATGAACAAGCTTATTTTTTTAGTTATTATGTAGGTCCATTAATATTTGTTATAATATTATATACATATTATACACTTTAATACAAATTTAATTTTAATAGGGAAAATTATTTAATTTTTTTTTAACAAATTTTAGGGGTTTCCAAATACTGGTGCAAAAAAAGGAAGAAATAAAATAATTTTCCTCAAACAAGTGAACGACAGATGGAAAATTTCGATGTAAAATTGTAGAAAAATTGACAATAATTTATTTATATTTTTTTCTATTTTTTATTTTTCTGGAGGAAAAAATATTATAAAGGAAATTTTTTTTACATGTAAGTTGTTGTTATACCAGTGCAAAGCTTTGCTGTGATACGTCAATAAATCGAAACATGACGTTTTGCAATCAGCGAAAACCCATATTTTTTTTTCCAGATTAAATTACACCCAATATATGTATGTAGTATTATTAAAATTCGGTATTGATCAGTATCTTTTTTGTTTAGTAACGTAAAACAAATAACACGTGTAAAATATTCAATTTTTAATTCGCAAAGCACTTTAGTAAAAGTAACAAATCATTTACATTCATATATACGTACAACAATGCTTTCTGTAACTTAATAATAATAATAGACCAAAATCTAAATATTTCTATATTAATCAGCTTTTGTATCCATGTTCTCGTACATACATACATAATTATAATTTCTTAATTTATTTAGGCATGAAAACGGAAAATATACACGTGTATACTTGATTGTTTAAAAATAAATTTACCAAGTTTATGGTAAACATTATTTAAAATTTTTAATAATAAATAATAAAAAATAAAATTGACATGAATACATACATACCTTAAATACATATTTTATTTTTATTAAATAAAAATATTATTAAAAAATGTAGGTACAGTCATACACAAGATATACATACATAATTTTATTGAACAATTTTTGATTCATGCCATTTAACAACATACATTTAGAAATATAACCAGTAAAGGTATACGCACATACTGCATACTCGTATACAGTAAATCAAAGAAATCATTGTACACCTTCAAAAATGTAATTATAGAAAAGTTATTTGTATCACTTTTTCAATTAGTCTCCTTTGGTATTATTCTATAGACAAATTGTTTTATACATATCCAATTATGTACATACTTCCGTGTTTCTTTACAATATTTTCAATTGAAATCTAATAGAAAAATACATAGATTGCTAAATCACTGTGTTCTTTTTAAGGTAGGATCGCACGTGCCTTGCTATTTTACTCGCTAAGTGATTCATATTATATTTTCGTGTAATATTTTTTGAGTGAAAAAGAGTTTTCTGTGCCAATACTTTTATAATCGACTGTATATTATTTCTTAATATGTTTTATTTTATTAGTATGTTCTATGTATGATTTTTGGAAATTAAAGATTCCAAATTTTCTGTACATTATTATAGCTCCGTTATAAATCAACGGCACATTTAACTTTTAGCAAAAAAATAAAATCTAAACTATTTTGATATTAAATATATAATACCATATTTAGTATTCGTAACCTAACCAAACGCAATAGTATAATTTTAAATTTTAAATTTCATTTTTATAATATTTATTGTGATATTAATAAAATACATGCAAACAAATATATGAAATTTTTGTGTTAATTAAATTTCTTTTAAAAAGAAACAAAATGAATTTTAATTATAAATTATTGAATATTATATTACTATTAAAATTTTGTGCAGTCATTGTAGTTTGTGAAAAAAGCGATGTAATTGAAAATGATTTAAATTCAAATTCAAGTATCATAGTAGTACGAGATCTCAAAGGAAATTTTATTGAAAAGAATAGATGTAATGCACATTGTAAATTTTTGAATTTAATCTTTTAAATTTTTTTTATAAAATCAATTCTAAGTGTTAACTTTCAAAAACATAAACCTGTTCTATATTACACAGTCGTAAACAAATAAGCATCATAACTTGGGACATGAATGAGAACATTTTTAACTACTCCCTTAGACAATTTAATTTTCATTTTAAATTTCATCGTAGACTACAATTTTTTTAAGACAAATTAAAACAAAATTTTTAATTTTATGTACATTATAAATGTTCATATGTATGCATATGCAAACATATTATATTTAAATATTATTTTTTTTTAAAAACTTCTATAAATACTTTTTTATAAAAATTTTAAACAAAGAAGCATAAAATAATATGAACAATTTAATTGATTCTTATTGATTATCAGTTTGCTTTGGTCCCGCCAACCCAAATTAGATTTTTATTGATGATTAATGTTAGCAATAATTTCAATAACTCATTTGGTTCAGTATCAAAAGTGAATGTCTCTATAAATAAATAGCATTTTAAAAATTTCAGTATATTTGCGTTAATCAAATCCAAATAATTCCTTTTTAATATAACCAGATTTATGTGATTCCAAAAATTTCATAAATAAACTCATATTCATTGGTGCAAAACCTTCATCTTCAATTTCTGTAACTAATTCTTCTTTAAAACCATTAAATCTTCGACATTTATCTAAATCTTCCTGATTATTTCTTTTTTTAACTTCACTTATTTTAATTTGAATTTTATGCCAATTCATTGATTTTATTATTTTCCAATATTCTTGTGTATTCTCTTTGTTACCTTCAACACAGATTATACCAGGTTTACCTGGTTTACTAAAACCAGTCAAATTTAAATCTTTTGCATTTCTTACGATTTCTGTCCGTTTAGTTTTGCTTTTAATATGATGGGAAACAATCCATAGACGTTCAAATTCAATTGAATTATTATGTGCTGTATTAGTAGTAGAAACATTATTATTTGATATCTTACTGTTATCATTACTACTATATAGTGTTGATGATGACGATGTGCGATTGTCTACACTAATTATTAATGAATTGTTTTCATCCCATATTATCTCATCAGATAAGAAACGTTCAAGAGAATCTTGTATCCATGTTATTACTTGATAAATATATGGTTCGTTTCTATCAACATCATTTGAATTAATATATTTTGCAATTTCATTTTTCACAGCAATTTCTTTTGATTTATTTGAAAATGTTGCACGTATTGTAACAACAGCATTTTCTAATATTGGATATAAATTTGGCAAGCTAATGTGTATTTCAATTTTTTGTTTCATTTCATTTTGTACATAAATTGAAAAATCTAATTGCATTTTCGGATAACTTGTTGTTGATTCATTATTTATAAATTCATGAAATTCACTAATTACACTATGATCATAAATTTGTATTTCACCAGGATTACAGAAAATCGACGATAACATATCTATTTCTTCCAATTGCTTTTGAAGGCATTCCTTATAAATTCGTAATTGATCTTTGCTAAAGTCCCCCATTTCATTCGAGTATGTGGTGCTGAAATTTAGAGGATAAAAAATTTTAGATAATCAAATTTTAGATTAGTTGAAGATAATTAAATGATTTTTTTATTTATTATAAAATTTAATTCATTATTTAAAACAAAAATTAATTTTTAAAATAAGTATAAATAAATTAAAGGTTGTTAGAAAATATTTACGAATAAAGTAAATGTAAATTTTCAGACACATACATATTCAATGGTTTACAAAAATATGAATCAGTTCCAGTTAGATTTCCAAAAGATATTTGCTTAATGAAAATTCATAATGTAACATACGCGGCAAGTTTATATTCAGATGGCGAAGGTGGTATATATTTTGTTGTATTTAAATACAAAGTAAGAAACTAATTAAATAGATAAATATTTACAAGTACGTATTAAATTATTTTAAATTTTCGAAAGGATCATAAATTTCAACAAATTTATCACCAGTCAACACCATTAGCTATTTCAATGGACTGCAAAGAATTCAATTCTAAGGGATACATAGCAGTGGCATATAATTTAACATCTAGACCAGAAATTTTAAAAAATGGTTCACCTGTCTTTGAAATGGAAAATGATAAAATTGAAATTATACAATATTTTGCTGAGCCACATTTAACTTCTGTTCAATTTAAGTAAGAATTAATTGTAAATATAATTATGTTATTGTATATCAGTTTTTCTGGTAACAATACAGAAATTGTTATTTGCAAATTTTTAATAAAAGTTGTAATACTCAGTCATTTTATTTAATTATTAAGTATAATCATTTATTTTATTTATAATATTAATTAATAATCATATTTTTGTAGCATTCGAGGAAATTCTTTATTTTTATTTAAGACTCATGGAATTGAAGCCGGTTCAGAAATGAAATCAAACTGTCCCATTTATAAACTTGATGATACACATTTTGATTTAATTAATCGTATACCATGTAAAAATTCAAGACGTGTTGCAATATTTACAATAAATTCAAAACTTTTTATTGCTATTGCTAATTATGCTGATGAATATAATCGAACAGATACAGAATCACATATATATAAGTATGATATTGAAGAAAATTCATTTAAATTATTTCAAAAAATCGAAACATTTGCCGTTGTTGATGTAGATTATTTTCACGTTCATAAAAATGATGAAGAACAACATTTTCTAGTATTTGCAAATTCAAAGCAAAAAGGTAAACTTAATTACTAATAAAATTTAATATTATAAACTATAATATTTTAATTAAATTTCAGGAACTACAACGGAAGAAGATAGCTCTGAAGCATATTCAGTAATTTATAAATATGAAAATGATAATTTTATACCATTTCAAAAACTACTTCTATATGAAGTTCAACAGTTTTTACAAGTACAAAGTGGATATGGTGAATTTATGTTATTGGTGGCATGTGATGACCAAGATATTAAATTGTTCCAATATGATGGCTGGAAATTTGAAGAGTCAGCTGTTCAATTAACTGAAGGGGCCTTAGGCAAAGGAATATCAAATATGAGATATTTTGATGATTTAAATGAAACATATATAAGTAATGATTATATATTAAAAAATAAAAATTTTAATATTATTTCATATTATAAAATTTAATATTTTAAACATTTTTTCACAATTAATAGTAATTGCAAATGAAAATATGTTACTTAATGAGCCAAACATTTTCATACCAATTTATAAGAAGCAAGAAAACGCATCTGATATCAAAGATGACATATTGAATTGGAGTAAACAAATATATGAAAATCATTCAAAAATTAATATAAATAAATTAAAGGAAAAGTTACAGGTAGAATTTTAAAATTTTCGTAATTTTTACCATTCTTTTTAATTAAATTTTACTTTTGTTAATTTATTAACATTTACTTTCAGTCGATGAGAGTTCCGACAGAAATAGTTTTTGATGATTCAACTTATATAAAATTTAAGAAGGCGAGAATTGAAAAGGCATTTGTAAATAAGGTTCGTGCACCATAAATTATGCAAATTTATAATTTTATAACAACCTAATCAGATATATGCACCTTCTGTATGTTTGTTAGCACACCCTATATATATTTTATTAATTTTAATGTGTAATATAATCTATCTAACTAATGCTTATCTATCAACTATTTTAGAATAACTTACTTATTATAAGTTATAATAAAGTTCTTATAAAGTTTGTTATTATATTTTACAAATACAAATGTAAATTTATTTTACGAATGCACATAATTTGAAAATTTGCTGTTGCTAAACCAAATATAATTGCTAATTTCTATTTTAGATAATTTATTCAAAAAAGAATTTCACACAAAATTTTTGGAATAATATAACGAAAGCTAAACAACTTTTAGAAAATATAAAATTAAGAACATTAAAATTAATTAGAAAAAGTAATTTGAACAATTCTAAAAATACAACTGACACAGAAAAGATTTCCACTGCAAAGGATAAAAATGATAATATTGCATTGGAATCACAACATAATTTCAAAAATCAATCGGAACTCGAAAATCTCTCAATAAAAAATTTAATTGTAAAATCCAATATAAAAATAAATAACATAAACGGTATTTCAATTAAAAAAGGATTAATAAAAATTAAACAAATAAATGCTAAAAAAATTTCAATTAATCATTCTCCGCCATCAGAAAGGAAAGTTAGACAAATCGAACAAATAACACAGAACGAAAGTTTAAAAGAGGAGTACGTTAATCTTGTTGTTAACAAACTAAATATTACAAATCATGTAAACGAAATTAACTTAAATTTATTATACGATAATTTATTAAAAAAAGTTGGTGATCAAACGATATCATCATCAGTAACTATAAGAAATCTCACAGCGAATAGTGTAGCGTCAACAAATAGATTAATAAATGATTGGAATACCTCAAAATTAGTTCTTACAAATAAAGGTAGAGACTTTGTTGTTAATCAAGATATACAATTTACAGCACCATTGAAAGCAAACAATGTCAATATTAAAAATCGTATTAATAACATTCATATAGTTAATGATAAACTTGATGTTCTTTTGTTAAACTCTAATGAAACACAAAAAATTACTGGTGTTAAAACATTTAATGAAATCGATTTATTAGAACCTATTCATATTGGGGTGAGTATTATAACAAATATTTAAAAAGTTTTATAAATATTTTTATAAGGAGGAATTGCCAAAAATATTTGCTGTACACGGAAATCTTTACAAACTAATGCAAAATATCAACCAAATATTTATTTTATTGATTTTAGTTATTAATAAATTCAAGCTTATATTTTTGAAATATTACAGGGTAAAATTATAGGCTCACAAGTTAGCAAAGTATCACCCCTTAATCCAATTCATGGAGATTTCACTATTGAAGGAGATTACACAATTTTTGGAGATGTGACTATAGAAAAACAACTTTCTACAAAAAATATATTTGGTATTACGTCCAAAAACACAGTTGATACTGCACTAAATCAAGGCTTAAAGTTGAATGAAGCTGAAATACCATTCAGAATTAATTTCCCAAATAAGATAACAACAAATAATTTAAATATAAGTATAATTAATAATGTAAATGCACAAAATTTCGTAAAAATTGAATTTGAAAATGTGCAAAGAATAGAAGCACTAAAAATTTTTGTCGGAAACCTAAATATTGAAGGAAATTCCAATATAACGAATATCAATCAAATAAATTTGCAAACCTTTGAAAACGGTTTGCTTAAAATTTCGGAGGATCAAAATATTACAAAAAGTGTTCATATAAATAAACTAATAATACCAAGGTAATTTTTGTAAATACTTGACTCAACATTGAATTCTTATTACAAAATTTTTCTCATAATAACAGCAGCCTCAAAAAAATAAAAGAACGTTTGCATTTTAAAAATTATATGTTTAACATACGAATAACAGATATAAGACGTATGTATTTTTTACACAAAATTTTTAATTTAAAATTCTATATACATACTCTAAAAAAAACATTTTCTATTAATTTTGATTTTATAATCCATTTTATTCGTAACATTTTCATTTTCAGGACAAAAAAACTATTAAATATATTATTTCATATAAATTTACAACTGTAATTAACATACATTGCTTTTAAATTCGTAATATCTTTCATAAGTTTTGTAAAATAACTTAAAAAAATTAACCTCTTTATATCAAATTCAATTTTCCCTAAATTTATTGGATTAGCTTGAGATTCGTTCATTAATTTAAAAAGTAATGAAATGAACAGCTTTTAAATTGTTTTACAATACGAATTATTGGATTATTATATTTAATATCAATTTTATTGTAAAGTTGAAATCTCTTTTTGCTGACAAAATCTAAATGCGAGGTATGTGACATTTTAAGAATTGAATAATTTTTTACACTGAATAAAAATCGTTTAACGATTCAATTATTTCAGTATTTTACTTTATTATTCCTTTATAACTGATTATTTCCAAATTACCGAAATATTTGTATCTAAATCGATATCATTTTCAATATTTGACAGCGATAAACCCAATTTGCAACATATTTCATCAAAATTATAAATACCAGTATAAAATTTCTGCCTATCATTTGGTACAGTTCCAGTAAATACAGGATACTTGTGTATACATCTAATAAAACTATGCTGTAACCCAAATATAACTAATTTTCTTTCATCAATGTTGTTATGTTGGGGTGATAATCGTTGGCAAATTGATCTTAGTGTTATACCATGTGTCATTGAAGCATAAAACTGAAATACTTTTTGCAACGATGGCCGATATCGATCTGGTTTTAAGCTTACATATTTTTTACAAGCTGCATATAATGCTGTATTCTTACATAAATTTTTTAAATTTTGTGTACACATGTATACATTACTATATTTCAATATTGGTAATAATTGTACAACACTGTAGTAAGCTAAATTTTGTATACAATTCTTAACTAAATTTAAATCAACATCAGCACTAGCTGCAATTCTAGAAATATGATTATTTCCATCTATATACGGTAAAATTTGTTGTGTTGTTAAATCCCAGCTATCGACTGGTATACTTTTATATTCAGTTTTTAATAATGGTACCATTTGATCCAAAATTAATGTTGGATCAGGAGGAGGTATTACAATTTTTAAATTAATTGTGTATTCACTTTCTAATATTGTTGTTACCATATTTACATTTAAATCGTTCAAAATTTTTTCTAGTAATCTTTGTAAGCGTATTTTGTCATCGATTTTTGATAGGAATTCTGATTCTTCTTCCATTATAATTAGATATTCCGATAATTTTTTGACAACTGGTTCATACTGATTGGTGCGCGATACTGCATCACACACGAAACATAAATTAAAATAAAATGCATTTCGTGCATATTTCTGACTATCTATTTTAACTGGATATCCTAAAATTTTTACTCCTAATGTATTAACTGTCATAACACATCGTTGTAACTGAGGTTTAGGTATAATGTATACATTGACCGCATCAAATATTTCCTTAGATATAAAATTTTCTGGAACTTGACAACTTATTTTTGAACCTTCGGTTGGATGAAATTTGCTCAAAAATATACAACGTATTAAACCTTCTTTAATACAACCACTTTCCGATTGTTGTAAACTTTGCTGCAATTGTACAGAATTTGTACTTGGTATAGATAATACTGTTGAACTACTTGCAACAATATTATTGTTATTTATATTTGTCATCGGTAAATCATACATTTATATGGTATTAATTGTCATGTTGCACTTTAGTAAAAACAATAATTTTACTGTTTCGCTTGTCTTTAGCGTATCAATTCTTTCTGCCAAGTCGAATGCTAAAAAGAAAGTGAAAAATATAAATAAAATTCAGTTTAGTTTTTAACTTAATTTTATTTATCTATTGAGTATAAACATATTATTTTCCTTTTCATATGTACAAGTCAGATCAAAATTAATTAATAAACAGCAAGAATGTGCAAAACGTTTTTCTTTTTAGAAAAAGGTTGTAATTAATGCATAAATGTTTAAAAATATTATTTTTATTTAAATTGCATGAATTTCACAGCTCATACACAATTTAAGTGCAAAACTTTTGAAACTTTCCACTTTATTTTCAAAAATTCATTCATTATGCAGTATTACTAATTTTTATTCATCTAATAATTTGTAAAATTAAATTTTTTTTAAACAAGTTGATGCACAAACGATTCCGACAAATTTACGTTACTCTCTAAAAAAAATTGAAAAATTAAATTTTTTTAACTAATCTTATTTCTTTTTCCTTATTTTTTAGTATAAACTCAAATAAGATAAACTTTGGCACAACAAATTTATCAAATATTTTAAATAAAGCAAATGTGCAGCATATTTTGGGAAAAATAACAATTCAGAATTTGCTAGTCAAAAACATCTCAATAGAAAATCTAGCCTCGAATAGGACCATTTTTGGAGAGCAAATTAATACATTTCAAATTGAAAAAATGCAGAGAGAAAAAATAGCAAATTCATTAAATTTATCAAAAGTTGAATTATTCGATAACATTAAAATAAAAAATTTAGAGCTTAAAAAATCTTTAAACCAACTCTCAATCAATATTATTGAAGCTTTAGTGAAAAAACTAGATGAAAAAATTTCATTGATCGGGCCTATTGATTTTGGAAACGACATGGAAATATTAAAACTTCAATTTAACGGTAAACTTAATGGAATTCCTGAAAAAGAATTTGGAAGAACCTGGTTAATTAGAAGTTCATCACAGGTGAAATTTCAAAACTTGTTTTTGTTTTTTTTTTATTTTAATAAATTTGTCTTATAGAACTTTACTGCCGCACAACATCTCAAAAATACTCAAACACCAAATGCTAACATTCTCGGAACTATAAACAATATTCCTATAACAAATTTTTACAATAATACATACTGGTTAAACCGAAACGAAATCATTGATGAACTTAATTTTAGTAAATTCCAATTAATCAAATAAATTTACCTTCATAATTTTTAATTTTTTTTTTTATATCTTTGCAGACTCAACAGTAATAGGAAACAAAATTTATATAAAAAATTTCAATCAGGAAAAATTTCCAGACGATTTTCTGATAGCTAATGCTTCAAGTTTTCAAAAAATTAACGATATTTTATCAGCCGATAATATTTTTGTAAAAGGAATTTTAAATTTAATGATCGTCAATAATTTAAATTTTAAAGATTTTGAAAACTATATGAAAGAAAAGATAAATAAGGTTGCAGTTCATCATGTTTCATTTGATAAGATGCCTATTATTAAAAATTTCAACGGTAAAAACATAAAAAACCTAATGGAACAAATTTGGTTAAAAAATACTGATATTTCAACAATATCTAAAAGAATTACATTCACAAATGCGAAAACTAAAGTTCCATTAGATTTAAAGGTGAGTGAAAACCCTGTTAATGAAAAAGCAATTCGATTTAAATATACATATTTATGTTCCATCTAATAAAAATTTATATATTACAGAATTATTTAAATAATGTGAATATATCATATGTTAAAGAACACTATATCAATACCAACGAACTGCAAAGAATATCTGGTAATATAAAATTTTTAAATTACGTTTCTTTTGAAAATGAACTAAAAGCATCGCATATGGATCTAAATGGTAATATCACAACCTCATATTACGATAGGTAATTTTCTATTTATATGGGTATAAATATGTACATCAGTATTAGCATAAAATACTTAGTAGAAGATACAAAAAAGCTTGAATGAATACTTTAAATTACAATTAGATTCTTATATAGGTACAACCATCCAGCTTACATAAATTAATACCAAAGTTTTCCTATTAATAATTATTTTGATTAATTAGGTAGGTATGTACCGTTCTTAATTGCATAGGTATGTAAAATAATATCAACTTAATTGAAAATTGTAAAATCAATAGGATTGATATACACAAATTTCAGCAGGACATGAATTTTCTCCCAATAGGTAGATATATACATATGTACCTAATGACATGTGGGAAGTTCGCAAATTCAATCTTATTCCCCTTGAGATAATTTCTTATTTAAATACATACACACTTATGAGAAATTTTAGAATATATTATAGGAACCTAGGTACCACCTATATATTACAAGGTATATACATATATTGATATACATATGTAGATATGTATAGTTTAAGTAATCCCCAAGAAGGGAATAATGATAATTACAATTTAAAGAATCAAAAGATAAAAACTAATTTTTATATGTAATTAAAATGAAAGGATAATGTAAACACTTTTGTCGATAAACAAACTTTGAAACTTCCCACAATCTACAAGTTTTGCATTATTGCTTTCATTTTCAACTTGACTTTCTTCCCTTTTATTTATAACAAATTAAATCCCGTACTCAATTTTTAAACTTAAAATTTTAATAAATGCTCATACTAATGTACATTATGCTTACCAACATAAAACAGTTTTTGTAAAAGGTACATAAAATATGGTACATATTCCGTTTTAAATAAATTAATACAAGAGTCTGAAATTTCACGCGTTATCACAACCGCGATACAAAATTTGCAAAATATAAAAGGCAACTTTAAATATTTCTTAAATAATTTGTATAAATTGATAAAAAAAATTAACTTACATCTAAATGTTATTTTCTTGATTATTTAGTAATTGCTTTTTTTGTTGAATTAAAGTAATTAATAGGTTTTTTTATCAAAATTATTTACGTTCATAAAAACTTTACCTTTTAATCTAAAATGTATGTACATTATACACTTGGTTTGTCAATCGTCGGTACGGTATTTTTTCTTACGAGACTGTCATACTCAGTGTTACCAAGGAACACTGAGTATTAAAGTTTTAAAGAGAGTATTCAAATAAAAGAATGCTCGTATTTTTTTTGTAAAAACAATATAATTTTTTTGTAATTTTTTATTTATTTTTTTTTCTTTTTAAGAAAAAGATGTCTAACATGTCGTTATTTTTATATAATACTAATTATGTACTAATATATTATAAGTTTATTCAGATTTCTTAGGTTCCTATAATGACTATATACCCTTAAAATGGATATAGAATTAAAAATCCGGAAGAAAAGTTAGGGAACATAAAAAAGTTGTTTTAATTGTAATCAGTATTGAGTCTTGAAAAACCTTCATATTTTTATTATTTATTGTGCCAATAAAGAAGTTAAATACAAATATTAAAATAAATAAAAGCTCATGTAAGATGGGAAAAAACCAATAAATTAGCGAATAAAATTCAAATCATCTGACATCATCAGTTTTTTGACAAAATTTTTCAGGCTTTTGAATATTGTATTCAAAGTCATAATAATTGGCAATACCGATTAAACTTTTAAAAATGGTACCCAAAAAACACACTCAAACATTTTGGTACATATAATTACAAAATCAACTATTTGACTTAGCCGCCACCTATTATTAAAGAGAAGACTTAAAAGTATGCCTGAAAGTACAGTTTCTTGAATTATTGTATCTGCATCTTAAAATAACTGTGGCAATATTTCAATTTCAAATTAATGTTACAATTTAGAAAGCAGTTTAAAAATTAAATTGCAAGGATAATTAACAAATTTACATGATTTTTAAGTTTTTATCACATGCACATAGGTATTTCTAATTGTGTGAGTAAAATTTTAAAATTTTCTGATTTTTTAGTGAAATTTCATTCAACTTAAATCAATTCTCTAAGAATATATTAAAACTTAATGACGAACAAGCTGTATTTGGCCAGTGGAATGCTCATCAAGTGTATGTTGAAGGTAATATTTTGTATTAAAAAAATTGTTTACCTTACGCAAACAAAAGTTTTCAAATTGAAAAATTTCTTAAAGGAGATTTAAATGATGTTTCATTAAATGGGCTACATTTATATGATGATGTTATGAGGTACGACACAATGAAATTAAATATGACTGGAAAAAAATATTTCGAAAGTTTAAAAATTGAAAAAATTTACACCGATGGTGATGGAGCAATCAATAGTGTCAATATTTCTAACTGGATTCATAATTCTGTTTTTATATATGATAATTTTACCATTTATGGTCAAACAACAATTGATAAATCAATAATATATAATAATATTAATGTTATTGGTTTAGTAAATGGTATAAAATTTACGAAAGAAGCACTTTTATTAAAGTCGAATGATCAAAATATCAAAGAAACTAATTTGAAAATTATTACAAAAAATTTTAATAAACAAGAGATTTTATCAAATACTATAAAACATTTAACAACTAAAAATATAAATGGGCGTAACGTTGAAAAATTATTAAAAAATATTAATCAGAATATAAATAATATAACAATTAAAAGCGGCGATTTAGTATTTGAAAACATTTTGAATATAGAAAATTTCAATAGTAACGATTATTTCTTTGATTTAAATACAAAAGAATATTTTAATCAGTTAACAAAAAAAAACTTAGAAGCAAAGGCAGAAATAATTTTTGATAATTTAAATAATAAAATTGAGATAATCAAAGCCAATTACGAAGGTAAGTCCACTCTTGAATCCTTCTGTTGTAAAAATAATTTAATTTTTTGTTAACTAATTTAGCTAGTTTTAGAGGATTAAAATAATTCAAAAGAAAAAATCCATATTAAATGTCCCTATTCTTAACAAACGGATTTGCCAATTCAACCGATTTTCTATTTAGCTATTGCAGAAACCATCTAAAGCTAGAAAGACTTAATTTAGAGATAATGAAATTATTTCTATACTGAATCTGCATTAAAACCCATTCATTTAATAAATTTCATTGTTGCATCTAATTAAAATTAAAAAACGAATATTTTTATTAAAATTTATTTAAAATTTTTTTTTCAGATTTAACTTATTATTTGAAAACATTTGGAAATGTACAAACTATTTATGGAAATGTGAAAAAAATAGTCTCGTGGACAGCTTTGATTGGATCTGAGCTTCATGATTATATCGTTCTTTTGAATGGTCATAAAAGTAAATCCCAATTATCATTTTACACTTGGAACATAAAACAAAAGTTGTTCGTTAAAGATTCTAGTAAGTTTTTTTTATTCATATTTTAATGCCGTTTAATTTTGTAACATTAAAACTAAAACTCCATGCAATAGAAAATCATTATTTTACATTATTCTTGTTGTCGTCTGTTTTGTTGAAAAAATCTTGGGTACAGCACAAAATCAAATCCTTTTCATTTATTCTAATTAAAAAAAAAATTTTGTTTTTTTGTTGAAAAATTTAAAATTTCCTTTTATAATAACCAAGAACGAAAATTCTTTAAATGAATCATTGATTTTAGGTGAATATTGATAGTTAATATCAAACGTATGATTACTTTGCAGCTTTGATAACAATTTTTTATAGGCTTTAGAGTTCAAATAATTAGTAAAATACTAACGTTCAGTTTTTTTATACAAAAATTTTGAAAAAATTAAAATGTAATATTGTAATTAAAAAATTTAAAATTTTAAATGTCTTCATTATGTCCCTCAACCGCCATGGAATTAATTTCGATGATTGATTGCAAAATTTTCGCTTCCAATTTGGAAGCCAAATGCGATGGCAGTCTATTCATTGTACTTGACACATACATACCGAAGCTATCATATTTTTTAGAATTGTATAAGTCCCGGAAAAATGTTGGTAAAATTTTTTCTGCTTGTTCAGTTAAAACTTTTACTTTAATTTCAGTATTTTCATCGGCATCCTTACTTATCTGTTCAATTTCTAATGTAGCTTCACTTTTTTCAGAAAAATCTTTTCTAACTGCATCAATTCCGTTCATTTTATTGTTGTTTAGGGTAACATTAGAAATGGAACTATTTTGTGACCGTGGTGATAAAGTTTCAATTTTTATATGTGGTTGTTCATGTTCTGATTTTTGATTTTGTATTTTTCCTTGTTCCGGCTTCTCTTGATCTTTAGATAATGATGTTGGTGATTTTTTTAATAATGATGAAAATGGTGGCAATTTGTCTGTAGGTGATATTGGCATAAAATTTGAATTTGTGCTCTCGTTCGATGCATTTTGGGACTGAAAATCATTTGAAGTTGACAAAATTAATTTAGATGATGTTTTTGAGGCTTGAGGAATGACTCTAATTCCTTTTGGTAAAACAATTTGCCTTTTTACTGGGGGGTCATCTTCAACTTTTTCTGCTCTTGTAGTATCAATCTTTCTCTTTAGTTTTATTTCTTTTAAATTGGGAGGTGCTTCTTTTACTTTTTCATCTTTTTTGACTTTCTAAAAGAAAAACAGTAAAGAAAATTATTTTTGTATATATTAACCTGTTAAAGTAAAAATATGTACCAGCTTTAAGCCAGATGTAAGAGTGGATTGCGTTTTCTTTTCTTGGTTGCTAGCAGATTTGCCGGCATTCATTGGAATTCGAACGACTATCGAATTAGGCGAAGACGATTTTCGTAAGATTTGGTCTTGGTTTTTTGCTTGGGATCCTGAAACTGAAGTATTTGCTCTTGTGAAATTTTCAGATAGCGAATTTTGACCAATTTTCTTTAAAGTTCCATTTTTCGTATCTTTCTTTTCAGCGCTGAAACATTTATCATTTTTAATTTTTCGAATTTGTATTTCTGGCGGCATTTGAAGCGTTTGCTGTTGTTTTGTTAAATTTTTTGGATTTGCTTCAGAAAAAGAACCCCCTGATGTGTTTGGTTCATCGTCATCAGAACAATAGTCGTCGTTAACTTCAAGTAACTCCACAAACTCTTCATTATCGTCGCCCTCGCAACTAAAATTTATCAATTCAATAATAAATTATTAAATGGCATTAGAACTAAAATTCTTTGCAAATATTACTCTGTGTTATTATCTAAATTCTCTTCTTTTTTAATATCCAAGAATGACAAATAACTAAAAAGCTTCCATTCTGTGTTGGGATTTGCTTTTTCAACTTCATACTTTTTAGACAATACTTTAAAAATCGACTTGACATGAGGACCTGTTTTTTAAAATTGCATTTTCTTTTATTTGTATATTTTTTGCAATATATTCAAATTTACCAGTCATTTTATGTTTGGCACCAATTCTAGCCCAAGCGGCATCTTCTTCAGGCGAATTTTTTGCATCTTCAATCGGCCACAAAATCGTCTCCTCTTTGATGTCTTCAACGAGTTTCTCCAATCTCAAACTCATTTCATTAACCATTAAATTGTACTTTAAAACGCGTACGAGTTTTAAGAAATCTTAAAGATTAATTTGATACCTTTTTTTTTAAATAATAGTTTAATCTATTTATTTTTGTTTTTCTTTAAAAAATTTCCCTCCACTCCACTGTCAGTTAAAATAAATAATTTTCTCTTTTGACAACTTAAAAAAGCGTATAATTTTTAATGTCTAGTTGTCTTTTTCTGTAAAAAAAAGTTTTATAGCATACGACCTAGCTGAATAAAAAATTGTGAACTATTGTCAAAAACTAAAAAATTTAAATAGCCCAAATTCACAATAATTTGAAAATATTTAAGTTAATTCAAAATATGTAGTAAAACTAAAAGAATTCAAAAGAAAAGTAAATTAAATTTTACTCAATTTTGAGATTTATATTTCACACAGATAAAATTTAAAGGTCCCGTAACATTTTATAAATAACCTTAATTAAAGCTTTATAAAATATCGAAGATATATTAAATCTTTATTAGAACTGCCTAGAATTTTTAAATTGTGATCAGAAATTGTGAATACGGGAAGAAAAATAGAATGATTTTACTAACTTGCCATAAAAAAAGGAAACTTACAAAGTTTATGAAAGAGCTTATTGAATTTGTTAATATTCGCGCTGCGTTACCCTCCTACCGATTCCGATTCCGATTCCTACTTCAACTAATGTATAACAAACAATATAATTTTATTCATTAATTGAATTAATTTGAAGCAAAATGACAAAATACTTAGATTATTATTGGGACTGTTCACAATTACCCACATATTCTAATCATTCACAATTAGCTTTAATTTATTATCAGAATCGAAGTTTGTGCAAAACATAAAGCAATGATATTTAGAAATTTTACTGACTTAATATTCTTAGAAGGGCAATGTTTTAGATATGACAATCTTTATCTTATGAAAAAATCACGCAATTTTTAAAATTCGGTGCTAAAAGTAATGCTTAACTGTAAAACTTGAAATAATGTAATTAAAATTTTAAGTTGTATTTTATTTGAATATACCTGCATTAAATATGTATCTTTTTTAATTAATTGCTTAAAATAATATTAAATATTAAATTTGTTTATCCACATGCTAAAAATTGTTCACCGTTCACTTTTTTTTAAGTTCAGCTTTAATATTAATTTTTTTAATAATTAATTTTATTTTAATATTAATTATTATAGTTCAATAGTAGAACATAATCCTTTTGAAAAGCCTTTACCTTTATATATATATATATACATTACCTTTATATATATATATATAAAGGTAAAGGAATATAAAAATAAAATATATCAATTAAATATAGAGTAATAAATAATTTTGATGTTTTTCAGAACTTTCTTGGAATGCATTCCCAGATTATTATACCGTTACTAACATCGATAAAATCTTGTTAAATGGACAGGATTATTTGGTTATTGAAACCCATTTTGAGCATAAATTTTATCAGAACATTATATCACTTAATGAAAATGGATTGGTTCAAAAATATGAGCTCTATAATAATTCCAGCTGGAAATATCTGCAGAATAATTATTACGATGTTGATACTATTATAAACTGTTTTTATACTTATTCACGAGATGATTCTATTATATCAGAGTTATGCTTGATTGATAATTCATTTGTAACAACTTGGAGCTTTCATTTACCATTTGTAACGCAGGTAAGTTACGTACATTTATATCGTCATATACATACATATGTAATTAAGGGCCTTAAATAAAAGAATTAAAACATTTTTGTCAAAGTTTCATACTAAAATTTTTATGTTATGCTAGGTTGTTCACATATCAAAAACAATTTTCGCAACACTCAAAGCAGACACAATAGAAATACGAGATTATTCAAGAGCGGATATTATACATCAACGTATATCAGTCGTAAATCCAACTCATATTAATGTTATTCATTACAAAAATAGTATTTATTTGGCAATAGTTTGTTCAAAACGGTTAACATCCATTTATTCAAGCTCGGTAGAAATATACAGGTAACTTTAAAAAATTTAGTACTAGAAATGGAATTATTTACATACAATTAAAAATATGTTGTTCTTTTCCAGATCCTCGGATTCAGTACATCTACATTTCGAAAGATTGCAATCAATTCAGCTAACAAATCCACTCATAGCCAAATTCCAAAAAACTCTTAAGTCTGATGATTTATTTTTACATGTTGTAACTGATGATTTTGCAATTCCATTAGCAGTTTATCATTACAAAGGAGTTATAGGCTTTCAGCAAATCATTGAAAAATCTACATTACCGAAAAGTCACGGAATTCAAACTTTTGAGTTTAAAGGAAATCAAAAGTTTATGATCGCCATGGAATATGGTAAAGGGGTTAAAATAGTTGAATTGATTTTTGCTACTTCATAGTTAAATTGAAATTTTCAAAATTATATTAATGTACAACAAATATAAAATGTATAAATTAAAAAAGCGCATTTTTTGTTTTATAAAAAATACGTTAATTTCTATATTGAATTGAAACTTCTTGAAATCATTATTCATTTATATAATCAATACTCTTATTCTGATTATATAAATTGGCTTTGGATAACCGTTATTTGAGATCTAGCAAATATAGGAAATTTTTTATTATACTAAAAAAAAAAACTTTTATTCACTCATTTCTTTTATTTTTCACTTTAATCATCATTTGACTCTACATTTTCAGTTTGAAGTCCCTTAAATGTAGAAACCGGTACATATGTAACCAAAGTATATAATTTATTGGGTGAATCCTCATCATCATTTCTTCTACGTGCAAGGCGTACACGAACACGGAAAGGTGTACTCCTAAAAAAAATACATACATATTTGTTTTTAAGATTAACAAAAAATAATGATAACAATGTTGGTTGTTTTTTACAAATTAAAGGAGAGTTCTATATTGTGTACATTCTCATAATGTAATTACTATTATGTATTTGTATTTGACATTACATGACGAACTCCTTTAAAACAGCAAAAACTAAACAAGTTGAATTTTACTTACCTAATACCCTTTGACCAAATGTGTTTATTTAAACGGGTATCTATTCTTACATCTACAGTTCCCATCTCTCTTTCAGCAAACTTTCTAATCTCTTTAATAGCTCTGGGTGCACGCTTTTTGAAACCGACATTGTGCACTCTTTTAGATAAATGAATTGTACATTCACGCGTCACAACTTCGTTGATAGCTGACTTGTTTCTTTTTTCCACTTTTATTTTAGCCATTGGGTTGTTTTATACTTGAATCTAGAGAAAAATTATTTAGTAAACAATTGTACATTGCAATATTAAAATAAGTTAAGTCTTTGAACTCAATATAATTTGAAATTATTGATGCACTGATGGCAATTTGCTCAGATTCTGGTTGTGCACAAATTTCAGTATATAGAATTCAAGATTAAGATGGATTAATTTTTTGTTTAAAAGAAAAACCAACCTTTTCAGAGTACAAGTTTGACAAAAAAGGAAGACATGTAAAATATTTCATTCATTGAATTGTCAATGTCAATATAACTAACAACCGGTAGGGCTGAGTGAGTTAAAATTACAAAACTATGAGTGACCATTCCACTTCTCATTCGTAAGGATTTGTAAATATATATTATTAAAGATCTAAAATTGCATTCATTAGCTCGTCGCTTTTCTCTCTATGGTTTATTAGTTCGTCACTGAGCGGCTTTTTTTACCTTATATTTAACATTTTTTGTCAACAATGGTTGTCAACAATTACAATTACAATACCAGTGCAGTATACTATGTACATACTAATACAATATTTTTTAAAAAATTGTTCTTGTCATACTAAACACAACAGTTCGTCCCGAAACCGATAAACTACTTAACAAGTACTTATCAAGTAAGGCTTACAACTACTTATTAAGTTTTTTGTTACTTTGCTTATCTACCTTTAGTATCATTATTCTTTGACGTTAATTTTTTTTAGTATATATTTTGCTGTAGTTTTTAATTATAACACTGATTTTCACGTCAATACTTCGATAATATTGAGGTTTTCTTTAAGAACTTTAAGAAAAAGTGATTTTTCGCGGCATAGTGTCATATAAAATACGCAAATTTAACTCTGAAAACAAAACATATTTTACATATAATGTCAAACACACACGACAGCAGATGATGTCGCGGTAGTAATTTTGCTAGATTTAAGATGGTCCCATTTAAATATGTGCATTGTTATGAATTTTGTCATTGCGCCGCGGAAAATCGCTGTTGTTCTTTTTTCAGCTTAAATGAGATTGTCCAGAATCAAGCGATATGCAAGCGATTTTGACATTATGCGTGTCAATGTGTGTATGACAGTATATTATGTACAGCCTTTGCGCTATTGTTTTGGTTTAACAACAGAAACCGTCTACCATTGTCGTTCATTGTCTTGGTTATGTTTTTAGAATTACTAGAGGACTTCTGCGTAGATGGTTAACATACGTTTTATTTGCCTTGCCAATAAACGCAAAGCAAGCTTGTGGGTAGCAGAATGAAATGTATGTCAACCATTGACGCAGCAGTCATCATAAAGCACTTGTATTCATAATAATTAGCATAAAGTTTTTAGTTGTACATACCTAAATTTAATATTTTTTTAGCGTAAAAGTACAAGAATAAGAGAAATATTTGAACATAGTATCCAATTTACAAACTCAATCAAATAAAAGGGGTTTTGATATTGTTTAAAAGTCTATTTTAAAATTTAATAAAAAAGAAATAATTATTTATGCTTCTTAATGCAAAGCTTTAAAGGTTTCCTAAAAAAATATATATGTATATATAAATATATATAATATCATTTCAATATTAATCAAATACCTACGTATTCATAACACATATGTTATTACGAATATATATGCCAAAAAAATTTATAATGTCAAAAAAATTGAGTTCGAAAATGTTTTGTCGGTTTTTAGTATAAGATGAGTATGTATGTATGATATAATAAAGTAAATTATAAATAAGAAATAATAAGTATGGTAAATAAGGATGGTAAATAGAGTAAGCACGGTAAATAACGATGATACATTGTGTTTCCCTGTTTGTATATCGAGATATCGAACACCGGTTAATATTTTCTACTTTATTCCTAACTCTAGAAACTTATATTTGTACATATGTTACTATATAATCAATTGCGGTGCAAGTGCAGTTAATACAACACAGAAACCGATACATAATACACTATCATTCTGTTTGACATATTAAAATTTTTTATTTATACATATTTTTACATTTCTATTTTTCAGTTCAGAATAATGAAGGATAAGGTATTATTTTTTAAGATGCATTATAAGTATTTATGCTATTTATGTATATGTATAATCTGCACATAATTTTAGCCTAATATAAAGAAACGTTTAATTAGTGCACTCTAATTTTAGAACTTTCCACCTCTTAAGAACGATAACTTATTAAGAGCTGCAAGAGGAGAAGATGTAGATAGGATCCCGGTTTGGGTAATGCGTCAAGCTGGAAGGTATCTACCTGAATTTCAGGTAGGTATTCGATAAAGATCAATATTTATATACACATTCATATACAAAATTTTGACTTAAAAATTTGTAGGAAGTAAGGAAAGAACATGATTTTTTTACAATTTGTCGAACGCCTGAATTAGCATGTGAAGTTACAATGCAACCTTTAAGACGATTTGATTTAGATGCTTCGATAATTTTTTCTGATATTCTTGTTATTCCGCAAGCTTTAGGGATGACCGTCGAAATGTTACCAGGAAAAGTAAAAATTTTTTTTTGAAATAAGTAAATAGGTTACTTTACCATAATTTTCGTAACAGGGACCTCATTTTCCTGAACCTTTAAATGAACCTAAAGACTTAGAAAAGCTCACACCAGAAGGGGCTGTGAATCGTCTTAATTATGTTGGCGACGCCATTACTATGATGAGACATAAATTAGAAGGAAAAGTTCCATTAATTGGGTTTACAGGTGCCCCTGTTAGTAAATTACATTTAAAATAAGTAAATTAAGAAATTTTAGTGTTTTTTTTTTTTTGTACCTGTTATTTTTAGTGGACTTTAATGGGCTATATGATTGAAGGTGGTGGAAGCAAGACCATGTCAAAAGCAAAGGCTTGGTTAGAAAAGTATCCAGAAGATACCGAAAAATTATTAAATTTGCTTACAGATTGCATTGTAGATTATTTTGAAATGCAGGTCAAAGCAGGTGCACAACTTTTACAGGTATTTGAATCAAGTGCAGAATATTTAACAAAGGAACAATTTTTATTTTTGTCAATACCTTATCTTAGAAGTATTAGAGAAAAATTACAAGATCGTTTAATAAAGCAATCTATTCCGCCGGTACCTATGGTAAATTATAATTTTAAAGGAAATGTATGAAATAGGTTAATTTAAAAATATTATAGACAATTTTTGCTAAAGGCGCTGGACATTCCCTCGCAGAGCAAGCTTCAATAGGTTATGATATAATTAGCTTGGATTGGACAGTTGACCCCATCAAAGCTAGAGAAGCCGTTGGTCCAAATATTACACTTCAAGGAAATTTGGATCCTCAAGACCTTTATAAAACGCCTGTAAGCAATTTTTTGAGTTAAAATTTAAAAATGCTTCATATAATTTGTCATTTTTAGGAAGAAATAAAATCATTGACTAGAGATATGGTTAATAAATTTGGAAAACGTCGTTATATTGCAAATTTAGGACACGGAATCACTCCTCAAACTCCAATAGAAAGCATGGACGCTTTTGTTAACGAAGTGCATAAAACTCTTTAGTACATAAGTATGTTAAAAAATTAATAAAAACATGGTGTAGGAATTAAAAAATATTATATTTTGTCATAAATTAGTAATGAACTTCCTATAATCACCAATAAACTACCAAATAACGTATCTAAAAAAAGAAAAAGGTGTAAGTAGGAAACTGCTAGATTAGAATATAACTTAATTTTCAACAAATTACTTTTTGAATGAATTTCACCAAGAAAGTACCCCGCAAAAGCTGTGAAAACAAAACTCAATGCATTCGCAATTGGAACTGCCATCGTCAAATTAGCGTTTTGAAGGGTCAAAACATAAATTAAACTTCCGCTTTGATTAAGTAAGAGTGGAATTGAATTTGATGGGTTTTTCAACAAAAATTGAATTTCTTGAGAAAATTTCTGTAACTTCGTCTTTGCTTTAATATTTTCAATCCCCTTAGAGCCTTAAAATTTTAAAATCTTGTTTGATGATTACTTTCAAGTTTATACAATTTCAATTTTTTTACCTTTTTTTAGAAAAGGGTTAGTCGCACCCCATAGTAAACCAACACTAATTAAAGACACTAAAAATTTATCAATATATATTATACAAAATTCTGTATTTATTCCGGGATCAACTTTAAATTTACATACATATGTGGTAAATCATTTTTATATTTTAACTTTGAAAATATGACTTTAAAAATTTTTATATTATGATTTGTAAATTGCCCAGCTTGTTAGTTGCGAGTATTATTATTATACATCAAAGCAATTTAATTATGACAATGTTGTTTTGAAAGAAGGGAATCAAAGATATTCACAGACTGATTTTCGATTTTTACACCCAATAATTTCGCAGAAAATGCTGTTTACATATTATGACATAATCTTAAGTACTGTTTGTGTATAAACCTAACAAAATCTAAATATACATCTACGATTAACGTTAAAGTCTGATAGCTGTTTATATACGAGTATCTAAAATTATCTGATAAAGCTTATGTCAAAATATGATGTTAAAATTTAGCAATATGCTACGAAAATGTTCTGCTGTTCAAAATTTTTTGCAAAAAAATTTATTGTCAATTAATTAATAAGAAGAGAGTAATTTCCATTTTTCGCCGCTAGACAAAGTCTGATGTCAAATAATCTTTATATGTGAATATGATTTTCAGCTATATACATATATCAATCCATTTAAAAGAAAAATGGGTTGTAAATTTGAACGCATTCGATTATTATTGTCTTCCAAATAGAAGAATTATTTTTTTTGGAGTTCAATTATTTTTTTCTTCTAATTAAGAAAATACAAAAAAAAACAATAGCTAATTTCCTAAATGGAAACTTACATGGTTTTGACAATCAATTATTTTAGTAAAATAAGTCAAAATTTCAAATAATACTACATACATATATAACAACAACAATTTCCTTAAAAAAGATATTATAGTATATGAAAGAAACAAAAACAAAACTATAATTTTTTAATAAAGCTTTAATTTTTTTTGTTTTGAAACTGAATATTGATTTCCCCGGTAGGCTAAAACGTATAATATGTATACCAATAATGTTTACTATTTTAAAAACTTAACCAAATATTCAAAATTGTGTATGTACATGACAAAAATAAAAAAAGGAAAGATTTACATTTCGTATGAATTAAAAAAAAATTGTAATTTGCAAATAATTAATTATCTAATTATAAAGATAAAAAGAAATGTCATGTAGAAAATGAAATAAAATCTTAGAAACAAAAGAGTTCACATGCAATATTATAATTTATAAAATTTGTTTCAAATGAAAATATTAGATAAAAATAAATTAAAAAGGTATTTTTTAAGCCAAAAAATAATACTAATTTTTTAAACTTTCGTTTTCTAAAGTTTGACTTATTTAGAAGATCTGTTTCATATTAAGCAAATTGAAAAAAAGTTTTGTTGTCAAATAATTTTCAATAATTAACTTTAGTAGAAAATGTCTAAGATTTTTCAGAACGTCGGATTTTAATATGTGTTAATTCATGTTATTTAATATACCTTTGGGAATATTTCTAAATTACGAAACAAAAATTTCTTTTACCAGTAAAGTATTCTAAGATTCCATTACTGTTTCAATTTTTACTTTACTACATTGTTGACGTTTCGGTTTTTGTTTTTTTACAGGGTAAACTAAAATAAGTTCGATTTGTAATATGTATCTGTAAAATAAAAATTTGCTGCAAACATTCTTGACATTTATAATAATTATACACTGTATATTACTTATACATACAATGTACATTGTTTGCGCCAAATAAATGAAAATTTCTAAAATTTAAATAAGTTAAAGTTATCAATATATGTATGTAAATATATATTTTGATAATGGAAGATACAGCAAAAGATATAAATTTGATAAGAAAATTCATTAAAGAAAGACTTCAAAAGAATTGCATAAATTTTCATGGCCCTTCAGAAAAATTGGAAAATGTGCGGAATATTTTGCATCGCACGGCGGAGGGAGAATCCAATTCCATAATAATTATAGGACCAAGAGGAAGCGGAAAAACTACAGTAATAGCTAACGATATACTTTTGCATATTGCTACCGAGTTTTCTGGATTAATTGCCAAGAGAGCAAAGATTAAGAGAAATATGTATATATAAATATTTTGGAACGCGGAAAGCTCAGTAGTGATATTTTATACTAACTTTTTAAATGTCATGATTGTAAATTACAGCTTGTTAATGCAGCACTGTATTCCTTATTACAAAATGAACAATTCAGAAACAATACGATAATAATTTTTTTAAATGGATTAATTGAAACTGATGATAGGTTAGCGTTAAAATCCATTACAACGCAGATGAATTTAGAAAATTTGATTGATGGCAGAGTTTTTGGATCGTTTGCTGAAAATTTATCGTATTTATTATCATGTTTAAAAAACTCTAATTCGAAAGAGTCAAAGAGTGTAATATTCATTTTGGAAGAATTTGATTTATTTTGTCACCATCACGGTCAAACCTTACTTTACAACTTATTCGATATCTCACAATCAGCCCAAACGCCAATTTGTGTTTTAGGTATAACTTGCAGACTAGATGTAATAGAACTTTTGGAAAAAAGAGTTAAGTCTAGATATTCGCATAGACAAATTTATTTATTCAATCAGGAGCGAGAGCTTCCAGAAGTAATTAAATTGTTCAAGGAATACCTATCTATTCCAGATGAAGAATATTTCAAAGTTTGTGAATTAAATACAAAATTTGATAAAATTCAATGTTTAAATAATAACTTTTTAAAAATGCAATTTGAAGCGAAAAAATTCAATTTTAATCCCAAATGTGTTAAAGCTTGGAACAAAAATATTGACTTATTCTTAAACAATACATCCGTTAAACAATGTATTGCAGGGTTAATTGAAAATGATCTTAGTGAAGATTTATTAAAAAAAATTTCATTTCGTTTGATATCCATGATTAATATAAACCATCCATTTATACAACCTGAAGATTTGCAATCGATCTATGAAGAGTACAACCAAGATGACAAAGTTATGATTTTGATTGGTCTATCTGTTTTAGAAATATCTTTATTAATTTCAATCAAACATCACTGTGAAATTTATGACCACGATCCCTTTAATTTTGAAATAATCTTCTCAAGGTTTACGAAATTTGCCTTAAAGTCCACGGTTATGCAGTCTGTGGAAAGGACAGTAGCTTTGAAAGCTTTCGAACATCTTAAAAATTTGGAATTGATACTCCCTGTCAATACATCAGCCATGAAAGTAAAAAAAGAATTCCAAATGCATAAATTGGCCTTAACTATAAAACAAATAAATCAAAGCATTGATATTTATACTGCTTTGCCAACTGAGGTGTTTCAGTGGTCAAAAAGTTGTTTTATATAAAATTTAATTTCCTTATTACACGTAAAATTTTTATTTAAATAAATATTATTTAATTTATACATTTCAAAATAAATTTTTTTTTAAAAACCTGAAAAAAGTTATTTTCTTTTATTAAATAAAACTAAAATTAATAAAGTAGTTGCCTAATTCATAATGGAGTAGCAAGCTTTTAAACACTGTATTTAGTTATTTTACTAATATAAAAAATTCTTTAAAAAGACTGAAATATGTACCTACCTAAAATAATTGTTTTTATGTGCTAATTTTTGAAATTTGAAGTATGTTTATTTCTGCTAGGGCTTGTACTGGATGTTACATTTTTTGTAAAAAAAAAAATAAAAGCGGTTAGTTTTTACTAAGATTTGGTTAACTTGTATTTGTTGTTCTTTAGTTTAATTTAACTAAATAGCTTATATATTTGAAGTTCGATTACCAGAAATGAAATTTCGGGTAAGGCAAATTTCGGTTCCATAAAAATACAAATCCACAGCTTATCGACTTATTCAATATTATAAAAACAGTTATTGCTACGTTTAGAAACATTTTAAATATGTACTTTCTTGACTTTACTGTAGAAGTTCAAAAATTAAATATGTAAATGTATTTATTTCCTTACTTAACGTATATACGTAAATTTTCGAATTTCTTTTGCAGATTTAGTCGTAACGATTTGTTTTTTAAATTTTGTCTCAAGTAATGATAATACAAACCATCAAAGGTAATCAGGGATTCAAAATTTTTTAATCCTAATATTTCTATTGTATGATTAAAAAACGTATATAACTTAGTAAACAAAAATGCAATCCTTGCGTTTTTTTCATCAATTTTTTGAAAATCATTTAGATTAATAAGTTGTTTTTGCTCAAAACTTTGAACACATGCAAATAAAATGTCATCACCTTGTTCAAAACTGATTTGTTTTTTCTGAAATTAAAAGGGAAAATTGCAGTGTATTAGTAGTTATTTTTTTGTTTTTGATTAGGCATACTTCTACCAAATATGTAATTATCGACACTGTAACAACTTGAGAGTCCGGCAGAGAAGATATGATGTAAGGCGTAAAATATTCGCATTCAGGTAAAAAATGCCAACAAAATAATTTTAATTTCAATTGATATAAGTGATCATTTTTGTCATTAGGCTTTAAAATAAACTCCTCTATTTGTGGTAAATCATCTATTTAAATGAAACAAGTAATTAATTTACTGCAAATAAATTCATATGATTTTTCGTACCACTTGGGTAAATTGGTATTTCATCTACTTTTTTATATGAATCATCATGACGTAATTTCGTTATAATTTGCCTTGTGACGCTATTTAGGTTTTCTTCTTTATTTTTCAATATCGTTCCAATTTGTCTCTGAATAATTGGTTTAACAAGTTGATAAAATGGCGTAAAATCACTTTTTCGTAGGTCAAAATAAGTTAAAGACAAAACATATGGTATATCTTTTAAAATTGAGTACAAGAAAGAAGGAGCCATTTCTAGTAAGGGAGACTCGTGAAAAACTGGTTCATTTACCTAAGAAAAAAGAAATTTTTTTTCAAGTCATTGGAAAAATTTTAAACACTTACATCACAATAAAATTTAATACTCTTTTTAAAGTCTTCCAAGCCAGAAATTCTGTTTTGGGGATGAAAAATTAAATTTATCAAATATTTTTCATCACTTTCTCTTAAATTAGGTGGCAATGAGCGTATTCGACGAACGATATCTCCAATTTTTTCAAATTTATTTCTTCCGCAATATTTCTTGTGGAATTGCTAAAATAAAAACAAATTCAATGAATTGATCTTAAAATTTTGGCTTACGTTTACCTCAACCATTTCATATTTAACGAAATCATTCCCAGAAATGGTTGCAAATAACGTCATTTGCAATGGTGATAGAGAAAGGTTTGCCCTTAAAGCCGCCTTATTAAAACGAGTGATTGATAACTTGTTTAAATTCAAATGACGTGCGCTCCAAAATTGCCAATTACCATCAAATATCAAAAAGTCTGTATCATGCGATATAACCGCTAACGCGTTCCGTTTGTTTGCTTGATAGACTATTTCTTGATCTCCTTCTCTAGGTGTTATAATAACTTTGCCGTACTGTTTTGCTATCATTCGCAAGTTCCAAAAAAATGATGTCAACGAAGGAAGATATAAATTTAAATTTGGATCTTTCAAATTAAAATTTTCTAATTGTTGAAGCGTAGACCATTCCTTCATATACTTCTCATTTCTTCTATTGATAATTGTGTCCAGCTTACTTTCATATAATGAACCATCTTGAACAAATATTATTTCTATACCTAAACTTTTTAATTTCTTGAATAATTCTTCTATACGTTGGGTATACAGATCAAGGCGACCAGCAAATAATTTCTCCGTTTCATTTGTATAGACACATTCATGAATTGCTATAATATCTATTATAATCACAGGCTTTTCAATGTTGAAGGTTCTAAAATTAAAGTAAAAACAAAGTTTGTATAAGCACAGATGTAAAATAGGTTTTTTAAATTTCAAGAAAAAATTCATTTTGATGCACTTATCTAAAAACTAAAGTGATGCCAAAATAAATAACTTTTCTCATAAATTAAGTTTCAAAGGAATTTTATAATAACATATTATTAGACCCTTTTTTGGATTAAATAATCTTGTGTTGGAATTGAAATACAGCTGTTTATATGTATGTAAACGTTGTGGAAATACTTTACCGTTTATATTCTTGGATTTCATTTCTCATATAAATTTCTTGGACACCCCCAGGACAGCTTTTGAACATATAAGTTTGCAAATGTCTTATACCCATCTTTCATTTCTTTTCTGTTACAATTTATTTTCAGAATTTAAATTATATATGTATTTATAATTAAATAAATATGGCAAATTATAATTTATAATTCCGAACGAAAAACAAAATACAAAATAATTGTAAACTGTAAATTTATAGTAAACTAGCATAACGTCAAATAGGATTAGGGATGGAAAAGTTAATGGATATTCTATCTACTCCACTTTCTATATTTTCTATATATTCTAGGTAGTTTTCACTTATTCATTAAAAACAAAGTAATTAAAATAAAAAGTACTATGACAACAAATAAAACCTGAATTAAACTAAAAAATTGACATTACAGGATTTATTTCTTGTTTCAAAGCCCTTTTTTTCTCCTTTAAGATGCAATAAAAATGATTTCAAAATGAACAAATAAAGACAGAACACAACTATACATACGTTAATTCGGAATATCTGAATGAATTAATGAAAACGCATGAAATCACCTTTAAAAGAAAATTAAGTTATTATGCTACATATTTTATTTTTCAAATAATAAAAAACAAGTTTATAATTATGTAAGAAAAAACCAAAAAATCAGTTTTTAAAAAATTTATAACAAACGTTGTTAAAGTATGTAGTTCGCATTTTCCAATACAGTACAATCTCTTAATATTAAATGGATCACTTATATAAAAAAAACATAAACTAATCTCAAGTTAGCAGTTTTGTTTTTGACGTATTGTTTTAATTGTTATTGCAGGTGTATTTACTTATATGTCACTTTTTTGACATTTGCACTATATTATCGATTTAGTAAATGCATTTTCGTATATAAACAGACTATAAAAGCTGGCGTAAAAATTTTAAACTTAGTAAAATCGCAACTCACATATTTTTAGTAGAATTATTTGAGAAAAATGTTTGCAACTTCTACCTTGGGGTCATCAAGTGCTTTTGCAACGCCTTCTGTATCAGGCACACCAAATCCAATGAAGGATATCGAAGTAACAGCCCCTCCAGAAGATTCTGTTTCATCATTAGAGTTTAGTCCCAAAGCTTTACAGCAAAATTTTTTTATAGCTGGAAGTTGGGATTGTTCAGTAAGTAATTTTTTTTACAAATGTGAATAAATTTTAATAAATTTAACTTTTTAGGTTCGTTGTTGGGAAGTTGAACAGTCTGGTAGAACAAATCCAAAATCAATGAAAACTATGGGAGGTCCTGTTTTAGATGTTTGTTGGATTGATGATGGTACAAAAGTATTTATGGCTTCGGTAGACAAACAAGTAAAATGTTGGGATCTCGCATCTGATATGGTAGTACAAGTAGCAGCACACGACGCTCCTGTAAAAACCTGTCATTGGGTCAAAGGATCAAATTATACTTGTTTGATGACTGGTTCGTGGGATAAGACTTTAAAAGTAAGTTTATATTAATAGCATGTAATTGTTTTAAAGATTTATTTTGTAATTTAAAGTTTTGGGACGTAAGATCACAAAATCCAATTTTAACGATTAATTTACCTGAACGTTGTTATTGCGCTGATGTTGATTATCCAATGGCAGTTGTTGGAACAGCAGGTCGAGGTGTAATAGTATATTCTTTAGAAAATAAACCAACTGAGTTTAAGAGACAGGAGAGTCCACTTAAGTATCAACACAGAACAATATCTATATTTAAGGACAAAAAAAAGACTCCTACAGGATATGCTTTAGGAAGTATTGAAGGACGAGTTGCTATTCAATATGTTAATCCTACAAATCCAAAGGATAATTTTACTTTCAAATGTCATAGGATGAATGGGAGCGGGGGATTTCAAGATATATATGCAGTTAATGACATAGCGTTCCATCCCGAGCATGGAACTTTAGCTACTGTAGGTTCGGATGGAACTTTTGGGTTCTGGGACAAAGATGCACGTACAAAACTAAAATCTTCTGAAACAATGGACCAGTCAATTACAAAATGTTGCTTTAATGCTTCTGGTCATATATTCGCTTATGCAGTAGGGTACGATTGGTCGAAGGGTCACGAATACTATAATCCAGCAAAAAAGACTGCAATATTCTTAAGATCATGTTACGACGAATTGAAACCAAGGTTACCATAATGAATTGTATAACTTAATATTTTGAAAAATAATAAAACCATTTTCGATCTAAATTTGTTATATTGTGTTACTATAATTAAAATATAAATTAATGATGACCACCATGTTCATCACCATGCCCATGTCCGTGATCATTTGAACCCAAGGCAGTTTCTATGGCAATAGTTATTGCTGCGGCACCTAAGCCCCATATAAAACCTCTTCCAAAAAATGCTCTAGCTCTGGAAGCGTGTGTTCCCATCTTCACAGGGTCATAGCGCCAAACTTCATTTCTAAAAAAAAAAAGTATATTAAAAAAATTACTTAAATATTCATATGATTATTGAAAACAATCTGAAGTAGAAACAAAATTTTATCAGAATACATTAGTTTCTTAATTCATACTTTGCAAGGACAACTCTACATAAAAAAATGTAATAAATTTTAAAGTATTATTTATTTAATATACGTATTTATGTAGGGAGGTATGTAGCTACACACTATATTTCCAGAAATTTACATAATATAGGGTACTTTTTTAAATTACATATGTCTGGGCACATTAAGATACCAACTTGTAAATTATAAATGTGTCTTGTGAAATATTACTTTAGTAATAGTTGAAAGTTTTTTCCTCAATTAAGCTACATAATATGTAATTATAAATAAGAATTACAAAAGGATTGTTATGAAAAAATGAGATATGAACATAATTAATAATTAGCTAAGTACCTACACCAATTTGTGAAAATAGCTTTTAAAAACAGGAAAAACATATTTACCTCAGCCAAGGATCCGACAATCCTTGTCTTTTTAATGCTTTCTGAACCTCTTCTAACTGTGGTATTCCTTCAATTTTGTAAGTAGAAGCATCAGGTACTTTATATGGTTCATGATGATGTCCTCCCATTTTTTTTATATCTAGATATAGTACAGAAGTATAACCTTTATTATTATATAATATGTATAAAGAAAGTTTTTCAATTTAGAGTTGTTAAAATGTTGAAGATGACGTTTGTAATGATTTTAATATATTTCAAATCAATTCGAAAAATATAATTTGCAGTAGAAAAATTTATTGAATTAAAACTCACTTTACTGTTAGGCAGGATAGTAAAACAATATAAAACGTTGACAATTAATTATTATTAAACTACAGCTGCGCTTATATTACCGCTGACAAAATTATTTTTGACAGTTGTTATTTGTATCATAACTAAAATAGATACTACCTGCAATCAATTTCGTGTTAATGCATTTTTGCAATTCTTACTTGAGTTTGCCGGACCTACATCACAGTTGCATCTGATAAGTAAAATTTGACCAAAACGCATCAAAAAATAGGGTTAATGCTCTCAAAACACCTGTTAGAGTACTGTTTGAAGATGGGTACTGTTTGAAGACAGCCTTGATTTATTATTTTGTATTTTTTTTTTTGACTTGTAAACTTTGACCTTATAATTAAATTCTTACGATAAGAAACAACTGTTTTTATTTGAAACAATAATTTAAAAAAGAATGTTCAAAAATCTTCATTTTGCATCCATGTCAGGAAATTCGAAGTTTTTGATTTTTCTTAATAGTTCCGAATTGATTATAAGCTAAGAGAAACTCAAGCTGAGAGAATGGGGTACTGATCTTTCAAGGAACTGGTCCAATGCTGGTTTCACTTGCTTAATTTTGAAAGCTTTTTAGCTTCAGTTTACCAATACTATGCATGAACTGTACAAAAAATTGACTTATTGTAAAATACAGTAATTTTTTTTAATGGTAGACCAAGTTTTAATTGTATGGTCCAGGCTAGAAATTGGTTTTTTTTTCACACAATTAGTTAACAATTCTAATACTATTTGATTAGAAAAATGGAAAAACCAAACTATGTATGCTTTTTTTTATATGTATATATATTAATATCATATATAAGCGATTGCGATAGTCTATTGAACGATGCAATTATTTTTATATCCTTATGTATTGACAGCGGTTTCAGCAGCTGATTGTCAAATAAGATTTTTGAAAGACCATATTGTTAACTTGCATACATACATTATATATTAAGTAAGAGAGAGGAAATATACATAAAATATAAAATTTCCTTGATTCATAAAACAAAAACAAAACCTGAATTGAGTATTTTTCTCTCAATTTTACATAACATTTTTTTTGTATTTGATTAGCGAGTGTATTTGGTTATCGAAAGTTTAAAGGTGATATTGCAAAAATAATGGAATTGGAGATGTTTTCAAATTAAAAAAAGTTTTATCGTTACTTGCTAAACAATAATAACTTAGAAATAATTTGAAAATAAAACGTAAATATTAAGAATATACATATATATACATACGTAGAATAAGGTTTTGATTTTGTTTTTTTTTTGATAATTTAATACCTACATACATATTATAAAAGTGTTTAGGCATTCGGAGCTCTGTAATGTTTTTCAAGATACTATTAAACATGACGAAAAATGACACCATGTTGAAAAATATTTATTTTTATGTTGTTTTCATACAATGCGCAAATAATGCATGACTCGAAAATAATAGAAAATAAATATATGCCGTTTTGATTTTATACCCTCAATTTGTATTTGTATATGTGGAAGAATTCAATTAAATACGGTGGTTTTCTTGCTTATTTTGACGCTCGTCTTGTTCAATTCTAAAATCAAACGGTTGATTTCTCGACATTTCGTGAAGTGGAATGGTTAGTTTTTTTATTTCGCGGAAAAAACAACCAAAATTAATATTAAAAAAACTTACATTGTATTGTGTAGTTAAAAAATAATTTTTTTGTTTTTTGTTTGTAAAATTTTCAAAGCATTATTTTTTTTTTTGTGCTGAATATTCAATCTGAAAATTATATCTAGATAACTAAAAAAAATGTCTAATTATGATTTAAATTTATTCTAAAATTTATATTAAAATTAAGATAGTATCATTTTGTTCGGATATGCTCTTAATGGCAGCTATAATATTTGTAGATTTCAATAAGGAAAAAATAAAGTTAAGAATAACAGTGAGATAAAAAAAAGAAGAGCAGATTTTTTTTTGTATATTTTAGAATGCCATCATATCACAAGAAAAGAAAAATGTTGTCTTTATTGACGCCGTCGTCATTTTTAAATTATGAAAAAAATAAAAGTTGTGCTTATATACTTAAGAATAAAAGAAATTATAAATTATTTATATTAATATTATACATTTGTGTAAGTTTAAATATATGTGGTGCACATTCTATAAATGGATTACAAAATATAAATAAGAGACAAAATTCAGAAAAAACCAATTTAGATGATATAACAACGTCAACAACAGAATTTGGATTTCCATCAAATAAAATTAGTTCCACCGATTTTAATAATAATCAAAAAAATACTAAAATAACAACAACAATTTCAAGTAGAAATTTGAAAAATGATAGATTTCAAAATTTTAAGGATTTAATAACAATAGGAACAACACCAGCATTATTGCTAAACTCATATAAACAATTTACGGATACTGAACAAACAACTGAAAATGGTAAATTAAAAAATATTTAATTATACTAGCTACTCTTCTTTTTTTTTGCGCAATTTATTAATAAACGATGAAACAATAAATTTATTTTAAAAATTAGGTTTCAATCTATTCAAATTTTGGTTAACAATTTAGTTTGGTTAAAGTTTACTTTGTTCCTTTAGAAATGTTGGCAATGAAATATGTAATTACCCATACCCATATGTATGTAGGTGAGTGAAATATGCAGCTGGGTTGGTTATGATGCTTCTTTTTGCTGAACAATATAAATGAATTTTATCACAACTTGTTGAATCCATACTATTTTGTTTTATTATTATAAGTACTTAAAAAAGTACTTTAAATTTTTCAAATTTTGAATTTGTATATTTTCCGCGACAGTATCATTAAATACGCGTGAAAAGGAAAAAAATATTTAGAACATTGGAGATAAATTCCAAACTAAAGAATTGTAGTAATTATTTTTATAAGTATTGGTCAGTAATTAAGGCAGTTCTAAATTTCGTATTCAATTTTGTGCTATCCTTGTTGATTTACTTTCCAATGTTTGTGCATGATTGATTTTCCCGCAAAATTCCGATAAAAAAGATTTAGGTGCTTAAATTTATTAGCATTTATCATAATTTTTTTTATAAATACCAATAAAACATTACAAGTAGATACTTATAAGTATACAATATAATATTAAGTATTTTGTTAACCTATGTAATATGTATGCATATTAGATCAGAATTCACTTTGTATGTAAATGATTAACTTTTTAAATATAAAATAGATTAGCAAATGATATAGGTGATATATGACATCATCTAAAAGATATAGCTATATAACAAAATTAAATATAATTAAGAAATATAACACTTTTAAGTAAGTAGAATCCAAATGTAACAATAATAATTATTATTACTCGCTTTTTATATTCTTATAAATTTTGGAATTTACTCATATTTGATAGGTAAATACCAATATATTATCTTAAATCTAAATTTGAAATTTCTCAATAATTTATCATACTCGTATTTTATCACGTTTCAAATTTCCATTAATATTTCTATAGATGTAACTAGAAGATATATCCAAGTGCTTATATTAAAATCAAGATAAAAAAACAAAAACCAACGAAACAAAAACTAATATCAATATACTTACTTATATGTAAAGATTTTAAAATATTGGTCGCAAACAAAATATTATTAATAAGGTTATAAAAATAAATAAAATTGTATATTTATCCATCTAGATGCCTAGTTATATATTGTATATATGTATGTAATTTATTTGTAGGTAACCATATCTTATTAATAAATTATAGATTTTTTGATAAACTTGACTGAATCGCAATTACCAGAGCATTATGATAATAAGCACCAAAAAGAGCTTATTCTCAAACTTTTTCATGCCAAAACCTTTTTGAAATTTTCTAAATGTCGTCCGAATTTTGAAATTAAGTGTGATAATGACAAATAAGTAAGAGTACACTAATAGGGACAATTAAAATAATTTATGTATTTATTCTAAATTATGACGCCAAAAATCGCCATGGCGCTTTGAAATTTAAAAATTTATTGGGGAATAAATTGTTTTTGGAAACAATACAGAAAACTTGGAAAAGTACCACTTCTGGCAACTATGTACGAGACATGTATTTGGTTTTATATAATGAAAGCTACCTACATACAATATTGTTTTTTTATTAACTCTTTCCGCCTCAACGGTTAGCAGTGTTAAACTATTCTTCTTATGAGAAATAGTTAAGGTTAAGGATAGGTACCTACTTTACTACATTATTTTAAACTTTCTAAAAGGTTTAAACAAAATTTGATTGCGATGTACTTATATTAATTGTTACTTAATGTATGTTGAAATATTTCTTTTACTTATTTTGGAAAATTTTTTCATGCATTTCCGTGTATTTTTCATACTTATACTTTTCAAAGTTATATACTTTTACCAACACATTGATTCTTAGAAATATTCTATAAATTTCTATCCTCTACCCCAAATGATTTCCTATTCGTACTAATTTGGATCTTAACTAAGTAACGAACATATTACTGTGTTAGGGTTGAATTTAATAAGAACTTAAAAGCACGACATGGGGAGTTAACATAGCATTCATAAGAAAAATATTTGTATTAGTAAATTTATTGAGCGAAAGTTAAAAATGTACATATACGTCTACTCATACATAGTTACTTATACAATGTTTCTTGTTTTGAGTTTTTTCTTTTAAACAAGTTTTTTATTAGAATTTTAAATACAACGTTTAAATTAAGTATAGCTACTAATTTAACATAAATAAATAAAAACATTTTAAAGTTTTATTTCATTATAAATACTTAATTAATACACTAAGAATTAGATATTAATAATTTCTTTATAAAAACATATTTTTTTCTGATTTAGAAGTTATTAATAAAATAGTACTTATGTATGTAGGTATAGTATATATACATATACATATATACGTACATATATGCATATAAAGCACCTACGTTTTGCATTTACTTATTTACCGCATCAAAATTTTTTAAAACAAAAGTTTTAAGATTTTAAATTAAAAACAATAAATCACTTTTTATTAAAAATATTTTAATATGTGCTAGTACTTAAGTACCCAAAAAAAAAAAAATCGCAAAGATTCGATCTGATGTTATTAGCATTTATTACATAACGTTTTTGGAGAGGGATCTACTATGTATGACATTAATGCTTTGTAAAAATGCATGTTTTAGGGAATAAGCAAAAACGTCTATTTAAGGGAAAAAATTTGTTAAAGATAGTAATATTAATTTACATGAAAATGTAAGAAACTCTTTGTGCGAATGCACTAAAAATAATGCAGTTCTGCAATTTTATTCTTAAACTCAACTAGAAAGTAACAAAAAATTTTAAGTAGATTACTTTTTAAATACAGTAAGTATCTGTTTCGAGTCAAATATATGGATTTTTTTTTATTCTGAGTAATAATGCATAAATAATTAAAAAATTGAGATAAACTATAAGTTTATCCCAAATCGTAAAATAAATCTTAAAAAATATACGGGGTAAAAGGTGTGCAAGAGAATTTTAATGATGGATGAATGGATTATAATTACAATTTTAATTGCGATACAGTTTTTGTACAAGAAACATAACATCAAACATTTTAGTAAATTGAAAAACTTAATTGGCGGCCTCTTTGGGACCTCGTAGTGCTAATTCCATTTTTCGATACATCGGGTCGGTTCAATTTAATTATATGCGTGAAGATATATATATATACATTTAAGTTTTTGATTTATGTGTTACACACTCTTCTTAATCAAATAAAGTGTTAAAAATTGTCTTGTTATACTTACTACAAACTTATATTTTAGAATTCATTAATTGATTTTGTAATACAATTAACATAGATGTAAGTAATTGACTAGTATTAAGGATAATGAAAAAGGTATTTACACAGAAGTATGTGTAGGTATGTAGACTTTATATGTAATATGTGTCTATAAGTTTAAAGTTAAGTTTCTTCAGCTATTTAAAGTAAACAGTAAAATAATAATAATTTATTTGAGTATAAATATGTATTTGTAGTTACAATTAAACGTTCCTTAAATTTAAATTTCGAATTAAATATAAATTATGTATATTTATACATATGTGTATGTTTTTATATATTAATTTACAAGTATATTCGTGCATCTTAAATTGTACTTTCAATAAAAGTGAGTAAGAGTGATGGAATATTTTTTTTAATTAAGCTTTTCCGTTCTGAATTTGTTAAATCATATTTGACTTGATTTGGACTTGTCGTAAAATTTAAAATATTCATTCTTTGTTTAGTATATTCAGATTTAATTGTATAAAACAAATATGTGTGAATATGTAATTCTAAAAAGAAATTTTGTTAAATATGTCGTATTTTGTTTTTTTTTTCCTTTAATTTCATTCTTTTCATTGTTTGTTAGTTAGGGTTATCGCTACTTTTCGTTTCCTAAAAGCGTGTAAAAAGAATTACGAACATATGTATGTATATATATATCTAGTTAAATATGTAAATATAAGTATATATGTACATACACTTATGATGTATGCATTCATAAAGTATGCAATTTTATTTCTCGAAAAGTAAAAAAATTTGTAGACATTATTATTTATTGTAATACCAGCATTTGACTCTAAACATTGTATAATTAACGATGAAAAATAATTTTTTTTTTTTCAATTATACTCATCGCGTTCTTGTAAAGTACATACATACATATGTACATACATGAATATCCCATGTTTTTAAGTAACAAGTTATTATCGTAGAAAATAGATAAATATATAACTTTACAACAAATTAAAGTTAATTGAAGTTAATATTTGACAGTACTTATAACATTAGTTTCTGTATTTCTTACATATACTTAAGTTTTATGTATTTTTTTTGCTAGAGATTGTTAGAAGAATAAGATTTTAAACTTACCATGGCAGAATAAAGTTATCGGAGAATACAATAAATAGTTTGTTTAAACAATTTTATAAAAGTAATTCTCACTTATGATACTTATACTTGTTTTGAATTTGATTAATTTTTTTTTATTTTTATAAAATTACTGTTATTTGTTACTGTTATTGAAAGCAATACGTAAATCAAAAATAGCAAAGACAAACATTTTTTTCTATTAATCAAAAGCTCACTTCAAGCAAGAATTTATGTATAATTGTACTATTGTAGATTTATTATGTGAATTGTTTTTTTAAGAATTAAATTCAAAAATTGAAGAACAATTTTTGGATAGAAGTTCTGTAAAAGGATAAAAATTTGATATGAAATTGAAATATGTACTTGCTTACGGGAGTAAACAAGGTTATATTTTGAACTTTACTAAAAAAGAGCTAAATTTTAGTACTCATTTTCAATTTTAATTTTAAGAGTATATTTACCGTATATTGCTACAATTGGCAGAATTTTCACAATACTTATTTTTTAGCATAAAATACATTTTGCACGTACTTAAGTACCTAAAAATCAAATT